AAGAGGCTTAGTTACCAACGCTGGCTTAGCTGTGCGGTCCTCCCCTTTGATTTTTGTGTGTTTTGTGAACTTTCAATTTGTACGATACGCTTAAGGCATTCATAGAGTAAGTTCTGTCGTACGGTCCATCCAGGTGGGTCAAGGCCGTGTTTTAGAAGTGAAAGAGTGCGATTTCAGGACTTCTGGTGTAGATTTAGTTTGAGCGACTGAACAACTGTATGCTCTTGGGGTCACGTGTGTTGTCTCCCATCACCCGAGCTTTGTGACTAGACTCCTTAAAAAATTAAAATGGTTCGCAGCTGTTCGTGGCGTAGGCCGATTCTGATGAGACTTCATCAGGGAATCTGTTTAAGATGTTTGGTGACCAAAACACATATGTGAATGTAGTTCTGTGACACTTTTGAAAAAACCCCCATTTCCATCCCAGTGGCCCAGCGGCTCGTCTGGACCCCAAGCCGTCGGCCTGGCTTGGCTACGAGCGCGGGCACGCCCCCCGGGAGGTGGGGGCAGGTCGTCCCCTCTGACCGGGAGAGGTGTGCGGGGGCTGCAGGCCGCGGCCTGGGCCGGGGACACCGAGACGCCGCTGAGCCGCTGCGGCCACCGCCGAGGGTGGGGGACCTGCAATGTGCTGGAGCCCGTAGGGGCATCGATGGTCTGTTGGGGCCAGCGAACCACTCGTGTTCCGACCCTCGAGGGCGGGCGTCTGCCGGGCTGCAGCCTGTCCCACCTCGGGAGCCGTGGGGGCCGTGGGGTCTGCTCAGGAGGCCGGGGGCTGAGTACATGCACACGCACGCTCGGGGACCTCGAGGCCGCGTCTGGGGACACGAGCTCCTGCACCGCGGGAAGCCACCGCTCCGGGCCCAGCCCCGCGCCCTGCACGGCCCTCCCGGCGGCTCCTGGCCATGTCCCTTGTGCGGGCCTCGTGGGGACGGTGGGGACAACAGGGCCGGGGACAGCTGTGCCCGCCAGCAGCTGCGAGGCTGGGATGGAAAGCAGGGCGGACTGCTCCTTGGAAGCCGCTTTCATCGTTTGTCAGATGGGAGGGACGTGACCCTCGCCTCCAGGGGGCGCGCCCTTCCGTCGGCCCCGTGACCGTGACCCCCTCCGCCCGTCCTGCACCCCAGAGAGCTCTGGGTCTTGGCTCCGGGCCGCGGGGCTGCCTCTGTACGCGGGAGCTCAAGCTGCTCGTGTTTGTGCGAAGCTGCTTACGCGCTGCCGCCGTTTCTGGGGGCCTCACCCGTGACCCCAGGCTGGGGGTCGTGGGCCGCCCCCACCCCCGCCCCATGCTGCTCCCGGCTGCCCGCCTGGCACTGAACCACCTCACGTCGGACTGACCTCCCTCCTTCCCGAGGACTGTACAGCCATGAATGTATTTGCTTCCAGAACCTCCCAAAGTGAATCTAGTCTTAAAAATCAAGTTGTAAGCGTTCCGAAATTGGGAAATATTAATTTTAAATCAAATCAGGTAGTGTTGCTTTTTACGGCATAATAAATACGTGTATCAAAAAAAATCTGTAAAAATGAATTTTTTAAGACAACTAAGCTCCCTTACGTCCCTGGGTTGTGGAGTCTGCTGAGCATGTAGACTGTACCTGGTCGGCTCAAGGGTGATGCCCTCGATACTATGCACACACGCGCGCACACGCGTGCACCCGCACACCAGTGCACTCCCCGAGGTCGCATCTAGGGGCACGGGCAGACTCTGGGAGTCCGGGCCGCCCGCTGCTGCCGCTGCTGTGCAGGGGGAGCAGCTCGGCCTCGCGGGCGCACGGCAGGCCTGTTGGCAGCGCCCGGGGGCGGCCACCGTCCACAGCAAGTCGGGGCCCAGCCGCCAAGCGCCAGCCCCGCAGCCGGAGGGCCGCTGACCCCCATCCTGAGAGACAGGTCGCTCTCCCGAGGCCCTGCCCTCCCCCGGGAGCCGGATCTCCTGCCGCCCCACAAGCGTCTGCGGGGCACCGGCCGGTTCGCGGGCGGGCGGGCGGCATCTCCTTCAGCCCAGAAGCCCCTGCCTGGTGTGGGCCCGGGGTCAGCCCGTGGTCTTCCAGCCACGGGGCCGGTGGGCGGCTGCCACGCCTGCCACCTCCAGCCGGGAAGGAACCTGTGTCACCAGGTGACCTGCTTTGCACCAGCAGCTGGGCAGCGTGGTCCGCGTCACTGACCCATGGCCTGAACAGACGTGGGACACCCCAGTCTTGTCCCGCCGTCCCGGATGCAGCGCAGACCCGGGCCTAGCAGGCCCCCGCCCCCTTCTCCACGGCCTGCCACACGATCCGCACAGACCCCGGCGCCCCGCCACCAGCGAGCCCCCATGTGGGCTAAGGACGAGGTGTCCTGCCACGCGTGGCGGCATGAGCTGCGCACAGACTCCACGGAAGCGGGGATGTGGCCAACACCGACCACGCTGTCACTACCACATGACGCCTTACCTGCGCGGGGCTGTCCTGGGGGCCTGTCCCCTTCCTACTGTCACTCATGAACCCCCCTGGCGGGAGGGGGGCCCTGCACACCCCAGACCTGAGAGGGCGGGGAGGCAGCCTGCGCCGAGTGGCCGGTGCCCTCATGAAGGCGCTGGGGGGCGCAGCGGGGACGTGAGCGGCCAGCAGGCAGGGTAGGCGAACGCTAGGGAGGGGACGCCCTGGACAGTCACGCCCGCGGCACGAGGGAGCGAAGCCTGGGCACCTGACTTCTATCCCAGAGCCTGCACCCCTCCAGGCCTCCTGCGCCCCAGCCTCGCCCCTTGCCGCCTCCCCACGGGTCTAACATTTCCAAAGCTCCAAAAAGTAAATAAATTTGGCAGAGAGCCTAGGAGCACGGGCCGGGGGAGTGGCCGGGGGAGCGGACCGGCTCACACCTGAGGTGAGGCAGGTGCCCACGGGCTCCGACAGCCCCTGCGAACAGTCCCCTAGGACGGAGCCCAACAAGCAGGGCCACCAACAGGAACGGCTCGGCCACGTACAGGGGGTGGGGGAGGGGAGGCTGCCAACAAGGCATGGCAGGGGGGGCAACGGCCCGAGCTCGGCGCCAGCTCCCGACGGTGCGCGTAAGCACTTGCACACCTGCGCCCAATGCAAACTTAACACGTTTCAAGCCGCGTAAGTGCGGCACTTTGTTCCCTCCAGTCAGGGCAGAAGGGCCTTTCCTGCATGGAGCACGCGCAGCCTGAGGCCGGGTCAGCGCAACGTGGAAGCCGAGCGGGACGGTCCTTTAGGGCCCGGACTACGTCGATCGGCTTTGAAGGGTCCGAAAACCATAGTCTTCGGCCTCCGCAGCTCCGAGCGCCATTTCCTGGAGGCCGTGCATGGTTTCATAGAACAGTTAAGTTCTCTGCAGCTCTTGGCTGCTCGTGTCACAAAGTCTAACGTTTTCGTGAGACGTCTGGAGCGTACAACCCAGTAGCTGAAGACTCCTGGGGCTCTGACGGGCAGGGCTCCTTGTTGCCAGCGTTTCCCAGACGCCGAGAGGAGGGCCAGGCCGCGGCAGGTGCTCACCGCGCACGTGATCCATTCGTGAGCAAACGGGGGCTGAGCGGGAGCAGCACTCAGCACACGCCCCTGGTGTGGAGCAGCACCCCACTCCGGGCAGCTTTCAAGACCATCTCCCGTTCTTTCCTGTTTTCCCCGGGATAGGAGGGCAGACGGGAAAGGGCCGCCTCGCTGGTGGAGACATGACGCTCACTTTAGCTTACAGGCCCGGAGCGGGTGCCGGTCCCTTCACACTGCAGGAGTAGCTCAATCCTTGACTGCCCACCCGGGATCCCGGGATCTCTTCTTAGTGAGGGGAAAGGTTTCCTGAGTGGCACATAAAGGGTTTGTGCTTCTCGAACCCTCTACAGACACTACTCCAGTGCTGTTACGACGCACAAACATCCCCGAGCCGGGGCCCATGTGGGGCCTGCGGTGACAATGGGTCACACAGCGCGGGCCGCCGGGTCAGTCTCAGCCCCCCCAGGACACAGGGGACCATGTCCGGGTGCAAGAGGGCGCGGCACCTGGTATGACGCAGGGTTCAGGCCCACCCCCCACCCTCCCGTCAGCCCCTCCAACGAGCGTCCAGGCTAGCCCGTCGGGGTCCCATCTCGGTGGCAGCTGGGCTGTTGTGACATGATTTTCCCTGCACACGGGGCCTGTTCCCTTGAGGCGACCATGGCCAGCCGGGTCATGGCGGGTCTGCAGGGAGCGGGGCCGTCTTGGCAAGGGCAGGCCGCCACCTCGGGCAGGGCTCCTCTCCTCCCGGGCGTCTGCACTGGAGCCGGGCCTCGACCCAGGACACAGCCCCATGTATGTACGTGCATTCTGGAGGCAGGGCCTCAATCAGCACCAAAATGCGCTTCGAGCCACTGCCTGCCCCGGGGGCACCGGGGGCCGCTGCAGGTGGGACCCACCCGCCCATGTCGCCCATTGGCTGGGGCAGCGCTCCCGTGGAAGGCTGCACCCTAGGGTTGGGTCATCGGCGAGGAAGAGGCCAGGCACACCGGCGACGGGAGCGGGACGCCTGTAGTGCTCAGAATCCGCGCCGAGTCTGCTCGGAGGGCTCGGGCGGGGCTTCAAGGCGGGCAGAAGCAGCGGCCGGCCGGTGGGCGGCGGGGGCGTGGGGGCCTCGGGTGTGCAGGCCTCGGGCCATGCAGGTACTACCTGAAACCCGACGATCACAGACTGGATGTTCCTACCTTCCCTTCCCCGGTCCTTCCTCGCTTCTATTGAAAGTCACTGCGCAGCCGGTCAGGCTCCGTGGCCCCATGGGCACAGGCATTTCGCGGATACACGCACCTTCAGTTTGCACTTCACGACAGGCTGCAGGCCACGTTTATCCCCGCCCGGGAGGCGCGGCCCGACCCAGTAACGGGGCCGCGGGTTGGCAGTGGGCCGTCGACGGTGGCCGCCATGCAAGCCCCGGCCCCTGGGCTCCCGTGGCCCGGCCACCCGCCCACACCCGGGAGGCGTGGGAAGCACAACACACTCCTCGGAACACCGCAGAGCAGTCTAGAAAAAGCACAGCAGAGATAATGGAACCGTTTTTGCAAATGTATTTGTCAGAGACACACAGTTATCAGTGAGAAACATGCCGCGGTCAGTGCGGGTACACAGGATGGGGGCTTGAACTGCTGGGTCTTCCCACGGTCTCAGGTCGGCTACTCATCACTGTTTTTTCTTCTCAGCCTGGAAATCCTATGATGAAGACTAACTACTAGCCACTGACAATAAAGACGCATTAACCCATTTAAGAGACACAAATTAAGTTTCTGGGTCGGTCTAGATCTACAATTGATGTTAACATCTTGAAAAACAGCAGGAGTGTGGCCTTGAGGGAGCCGTCGTCAACCTGGCTCCCTCGGCAGACGGAGGGAGACCGTTTCGGTTGCCAGCGACCACGATGAAGGCACAAGGTACTGGGCTCTGGGCATCAGGGTTTAAACACAAGGACCTACTCACAGGCTGGAAACGCACTTCCCTGTGCTGACGTCAGCGGCATCGTAAACCCGTCAGACAGCAAAGCTACGTCTCCCACGAGAGGGCATTTGCTTGTGGCTTTGAATGGCCGGTGTGCAAAACGCTGCCAGGTACAGAACTCTGCTCCCGACCCTGACGCGGCCAGACACCACCTCTGGTAACAGCTGATGTGATTCTACATAACTTGGCTTTGAACTAGGTCGCAAGTAAACCAATGGGAAAACCTGCAGCCACACGTGAAGCAGAGGGAATGAGTTCTGCAGGACAGACACATGCCGACCCTACAGGAGCGGCAGAGGGGTCCCCAGGTGGCCGTGTGATCTGTCCGGCGGCCTGCGGCAGCTGTGCACCAACATCGGGCACGGCGTGTCTTAAGCTCCACTTCTCACCATTCCCAAAGGAGTCTCGTTCTCGCCTGGGGGTTTCGGGGTTATCTGGGAGTTTTTCGTGCCCAACACCCACTCTGCGGAGAGGGCCTTTCAGCGTTACCTTTCACAAGGTGCACGAGGCCCTTCGCAGTAACAGATGTTCCTGAATTAGGGGAAAACCCGCTTGCTATCCACGGGCTGCGGCAAATGTGCTCATCTTTGTTTCCCTAGAAACACAGGAGGTGAAGGAAGAGTAGCAGGAGGGAGTCACAGGTGGGAAGGAGACACGTCGCCAGGGGAAACGTTCACGCTCTACACCGCGTGCATCTGTAAGAGAGACGAGACGTGGTTAAGCTTCCTCCCCGGGGTACAGACCCGCGTCCTCAGCAGCACCGCCTGCCCTCTGACGGGGGAAGGGCGACACTGCCCGCAGCACGTCCGCCCACGGAACCGGGGCCTTCAGCATGTGCTATTCATCCTTTCTGTGGGGCGGATGGAGGCCTTTTCTATCCCCTAAGCTGACGGATTACTCCTCTGCTGCCTGCAGGCTTAACTCGGTCAGTTCACGCAGGACAGACAAAGCTTTCTGCTGTTCTGCACGTCTGGGGCAGAGCCACGTGGCAAATGTGCTTCTGTGCAACACGCAGGAGGCAACGCAGAGCTGCAAGCGGGGGGAAGGGCTGGGCACCTGCTGAGTCTTCCTTAAAGGCCACGCAGTGGGATGCCGTGGGGGTCTTGCAGGTACAGGCTAGGCCGGCGGCCCCGGTGGGACACCCTGTAGGCGCTAAGTGCGCGGCCAGGGGACGGTGGCCTGCCTACTTGCCCCCAGCCCCCTTCTAGGCCGGGCTCTCCCCTTAGACCAGGGCTCTCCACGGGGCTGACCCCGCCCCCAGCAGCGTCTAGAGGCCTGACAGCCACCACTGGGCTCAGGAGTGGGTGCCACTGGTGCCCGGCAGGTGGTGGCCAGGGACGTTGCAAAGTACTGTCCAAGGCACACAGCAGCCGCCGGGCACAGAACGGCCTGGGTCCCCGACACTGAGCCTCTCGAGAACTGGGCTAAACCTTAAGGTCTCAGAGGATTCCTGCAAGATCTAAGGAGCCACACGGTGACCAGGTGACAGAGTCAGAGCTCGTAAGAATTCATAGCTCTTTCCCTAACGAGTCCCGTTATTTTTAATCCTGGGTGCCTGCTGGCCAACAGCCCGTGGGCTCCTCCACACGCTATGCAGGGTCACGGCGCAATGGAGGCTCCCGCCTGATGCTTCAGCGTGTGCCTGGGACGTGTTTTCCAGGGAGTAGACACGGGGGGAGGGGGACAGAAAGCCCGGATCCCACCCCCTGGCACCACCTAGGACCCCTCCGCCTGCAGCCCGAGGTCTCCGTCCCCCAGACGGGCTCCCGGTGCTGAGCAGAGGACGGCGGGAGTGAGTCACGAGAGACCACGCACGCCACCTGGCACGGAAGGCAGACGGGAACAGAGGGTCAAGGGACGCGCCTGTCACCCTCTGCCCTGGCCGAGGCCACAGGGAGCAGGCCGGCCTCACGGGCCCCGGGGAAGCCACCGATGGTCCAGGGCATGCAGACCGACCACAGCGAGGCAGCCCGCAGGAGACACGGGGCTCGGGGTCGGGGGACAGTGTGCTCAGGGGCCTTTGGCCCTTCTGTCCCTGCACCTGGGCCACAGCCGCCACCTCTGCGTGTGGCTGGACCCATGGACAAGGCCAAGGGCAGGGACACTGGGACAAAGTCGAGCCCACCCAATCTGGGAGCAAACCCAACTTTTATCTCGCCCGGCTCGTGTCTTGCCCGGATCTTTGTCCTTTGGGCTCTGACCCGGAGGCGTGTGCACAGCGAGCAACAACTTCTGCCCTGCAAGTGGCGCGGGTGCAGGGTGCGGGCAGGAGGGCAGTGGGCGCGTCCACGGGCGCTCACGCAGGGCAGTCCCACGGCATTGCAGGACCGGCCCAGGAGCCCAGGGAAGGGCTGTACCGCCTCATTCCCCCAAGCCAAGGGGGATGGTGCTGATGACGCAGCCGGACTCCCACTTCCAAATCCCAAACACTGGCGTCTCCATGGAGGCCGCCCTGCCCCCGCCCTAACACGCTGACTAAATGCTACTGAGTCCCGTGCAGACGGTTTCTGTGGGGTGGGGGTTTAGGATGAAACAAAGCTCGGCTCTTCCCGGGCAGCGTTCTAGGAGTGGGGATGAGCAGGGATGAGTGGGGCGCGCCGGCTGGATTCTGATGGACCCACTGCTCCCTGGGCTGGCAGCCGCTCTCAGTCATGTCACACGGCTTGGGGCGGGGACACCCGGGCCTCACCATGAAGCCCAGAATAGTGGTCACGCTTGCCGGGAGGCGGCCACGAGGAGGGGCCACTGGCGGCAGGTGCCCGCACACGGCAAGCCTCACCCGCAGGGGGCTGGGGACTGTGAGGGCAGCGTGACGCCTGGGACGGCGAAGAAGGAACAGAAGAAGGTCCGCCATCCTGCGGTTCTAGCAGCGGATGTCACATTCGTGGAGTGACAGGGCTTCACGTTGCTCCCATTTTTGCGATGGGCTCCTAAAGCACTTTCGGGCCGACTGGGGCCGCCGTCCAACAAGGACGCACCCTCGCACCCAGAAGGGCTCGCGCGACACATGCACAGGGCGGAAGGGCCCTCTCTCCGTTCTCAACCGTGAGGAAGGCGGAAGGGTCACATTTCTGAAGGTCTGAGCCTGGGCTTCCTCAGGTGACAAAAAGGGACCAAGAAAAGGGTACATGCCGGAAACCCAGCTCTCAACAGGCGCTGCTGAGGTCAGGGCTGAGGCCAGGGCACGCACCCCAGGGCCTGAGGGCTGGCACCCCGCGTCCGCCTGTCCCTTCCCACGGGGCTGCCTCAGCCCGGGACGTCTCCGGGCCGCGCGCCAGTACACCGCCATGAGGAGAGGGCAGGAAGAACTCAGGGAGGGTCTTTTTTTTTTTAAAGATTAAACAAATTTTAACGAATTAACTGGAATAGCATCATGTGGAAAAAGAGCCTAAAATTAAACAGTGTCACCAAGATTCCAACCAACCAAAAAAAGTCTTCCAGAGGAGGGACTGCGGCCTGGCAGGCAAATGATGCTACTTGGTAATTTTGAAAAATATTTCCCTGGGCCACCTGGGAGCTCCGCTGGCTAAGCCCCTGCCTTCAGCTCGGGTCGCAATCGGGGCTCCCGGGACCGAACCCCACACCTGGCTCCCTGCTCAGCAGGCGTCTGCTGCTCCCTCTTCCTGCCGCTCGCTCATCCTCACGCGCTCTCTCGCGCGGTCTCTGTCTCTCCCTCAAACAAATAAAATCTTAAAAAAAAAAAAAAAAAAAAAACCAAAAAAACAAAAAGAAGAAAACCATCCTCCCAAAGGGAACATGTGGACGATCCTGCTCCTACCCTGGTCATGACACTCGCGGCGACGCCCTGGGTGGGAGGGAGCAGGACCACCAGTCATCAAGCGTGAAGCAGGTGGACGTGCTTCCCGGTCGCTGGGGAGGGCTCGTAGGATGCCCGCTGCCCAGCATCCGTCCTCTCTGCCTGCTCCCCCCCGCGCCCAGACCCAGAGCGGAAACGACGGCCGAGGGAGAGCACCTCTGTGTGGCAGAAGCCCGAGTTCCTTAGTACGTGACATTTCTCCAAGGACGACTTGCAGAGGGCGGAGGGGGAACTTGTGAAATACCAGCCACGTCACTGAGTTTTTGCAAGGGGCTGACGGGGTCTCGGCACTGGGGAGACACTGCCTGTGGGGGCTGTGCCCGAGCGAGCCCCCCCCGCTCCCCCCATGCCCCCCACGCCCGGTGGGCGCCCCCCAGCGCCGCCTACTTACCATGCTGTCGAACTCCACGGAGCCCACTATGCGAGACACCTCATCAAACTCCTCAGGAGACATGGGCAGAAGGTTATCTGTCGTCTGGAGTCGGGAGGGGTGGCTGAAACGGGGAGAGAGGAAAGGACACGTTGGCACCAGATCCCGGGGGCAGCGGTATGACCTCCACGTCGTCGCTTTAGACTCTGATCTCCGCTACGGTGCACACACTTGTGCGGTACGTTCTGGAACAGAACGGATCACGGGGGTTCCTGTCCCCAGCCCGGCCCCTCGGGAAACGTCCAGGGCTCTAGAGATGCGAGAAATAGCCAGCCTGGAACCTGCGCCGCTCCTGCCTGTTCGACCTGCGTGCGAGCTTGTGCAGCGGGTCGCCCTGCGGTGGGGACGCCTCGGGGCTGAGCCTGGCCCGAGAAGCTCCAGAGAAATGTCTGGGGAGTCCCTCCCTCATCCCTACCTTGAGGTTTGTATGCAGATAAAGCTGCTCCAGTGTTTTTACATGAAGGCTACATCCATTCACCCCAAGACAGTGCTGCAGGCCAAATAACTGACAATGACTTTTCCAAATTTTTTTCTACCTTTTATAAAATGAAACAACAAAATAAAAGCAAGCGAGAAGAATGTATCTCAACCATCACTTTGGCCTTTCCTCGATTGAAAAGAACTTTTTTCCCACTCTGATCAATTTTTGTTTATTTTATTTATACTTTTTCAAAGTATCAGTTGGGCGGGGGAGGGGATCTTAAATACAACCTTGCATGCTGGTGGGTTTTTTTTGCTTTTTGTTTTGTTTTTTTTTATAAAGGCAGTAAAATTCTGAAAGGCAGTGACACCAGGATCTCTAGTTAGGATCTTTCCAAAGAGTCCAACTGCGGCGGCAGCAGCAGCAATTATAATGAGAAAGCAAAGTACGAGCATCTTCAACAGGCCCTGGCCAGGAGCGGGGCTGGCTGCAGGGTTTTAAACACGGCTCTCTTCCGTGTTCACTTACACTTCAGACACAGAAATCAACTCAGTCTTGATGTATCCAGTTCCCTTAGGGCCATCAAGTTCCATCGGTTCTGGTGCTAGAAGCAAACACACCGGGTACAACTTTCTGTTAGCAGGCCATCCACAGAGACACACCCAATGTTCTCTTTCACCAAATTTTTACTATTTTGCTGTTATAAACCCTGGGGTGCAGATGGCCATCGACCGGTCAATGGATATAGCAGATGTGGTGTGCACATGTAAACAACGGAATATTACTCAGCCATCAAAGAGAATGAAATCTTGCCATTTGCAACGACGTGGATGGAACTAGAGGGCGTTACGATAAGTGAAGTAAGTCGATCAGAGAAAGACGTTGATCATGGGATCTCACCCATGTGTGCAATTTAAGAAACAAAACAGGATCATAAGGGAAGGGAGGAAAAATAAGACGAAATCAGAGTGAGACAAACCATAAGGACTCTTAGCTACAGGAAACAAACTGAGGATTGCTGGAGGGGGGAGGAGGTAAGTGCGTGATGGACATTAAGGAGGCACGTGATGGAACGAGCACTGGGTGTGATAGAAGACGGATGAATCACTGACCTCGATCTAGGGAACTACTAATATACACTGTACGTTAATTAATGAAATTTAAATATAATTAGTTAATTATTTTTACCGTTTTCCCTGACAGTCAGGTTAGAGTCCTATAACCTTACGGGGCTGTGACACTCGTCTGGGTCACCTGAAATTCTGGTGGGAATGCAGAAACAACTCAGAGGGAAGGGAGGAGGGCTCAGCATGGAACTGAAGTGGAGAGGGTTCTCCTTCCCAGCCTTGAAATCCTACAGAAGTTGGAGCACAAAATGTGCACAGTTGTGTGGGTTTGTGGTGTGGCCAGGGCCTGGCTGGTATGACTCAGCCAGTCGTCAAGGTGACACTGGGGCGTCTTCTTCCCTAAGCAGCCTAACTTGAATGTTCTCAAATGCAATTTGGTAAAGACACAGAAGCAGGGAACCTGCGTTCTAAGCCTACGTCCGCTCTTAACAGTCATCACTAGAAATAATATGATCTCATAAATTACTGAGATCACCCTCAATGAACCATTTGCTTCCCTGGGCCTTAGTTCTCTCAATTTTAAAAGGAACAGGCTGGTATAAATCAGTTGGCCACGGTGTTCCTGCCTTTTACCACTTTGCATGTGGAAAAGGTAATAATGTGATCGATACACAAGACCAGAAATGACTTTTTCAACACGCCTAAAATAAATTCTTTGTTCATCTGTTTGTACCAGGCAGGTAACACGTTATATGTCCACTATGCTGGGTTTACACCATCTTTGGAAAGGCTGCTTACAGCAATTCAAAAGGGGTAGGTTAATGCTCAGCATGGGTGAGGTTTGTGCAGGAGCCTTGCAGTCACGGAAAGCCAAAAGCCCTGTGTAGTCTTTTTCTTTTTTTTTTTTTAGATTTTATTTATTGGGCAGCCCGGGTGGCTCAGCGGTTTAGCGCCGCTTTTGGCCCAGGGTGTGATCCTGAAGACCCAGGATTGAGTGCCACGTCGGGCTCCCTGCATGGAGCCTGCTTCTCCCTCTACCTATGTCTCTGCCTCTCTGTCTCTCATGAATAAATAAATATTTTAAATAAATATATTTACATTTAAAATATAAATATATTTCTTATTATAACATATATTATAATAACATACATTAAATATTATACAATAGTATTTATGTTAGAAATATATTTTAAATAAATATATTTATATTTAATATAAATAAATATTTATTATTTATGAGACACACAGAAAGAGAGGCAGAGACACAGGCAGAGGGAGAAGGAGGCTCCATGCAGGGAGCCCGACGCAGGACTCGATCCTGAGAATCTGGGACCAGGCCGAGCCAAAGGCAGACGCTTGACCGTGGAGGCACCCAGGCGTCCCCCCGTGTGTTACTAAACCCCATCTCCAGCAAACCTTTGGACGATGATAAAATGAGAACATAATCACAGCAGATAGGACTTGTGTTATTACTCATCAGGGCAATGATCCTTCGCTTTCCCCACCTACCTTCCTTTGGCCTGGAGTAATACTTCCCGAAGGCATGGTCTTTATCAATATTCGGGTACAGAAACTTCAAGGGATTCTCTGGAATATTTTCAGCAGCCATGACTTTGTAATTGCGAATAATATCGGGGAATGTAACAGCAGACAGTTCTTTCTTCGTGTAGGGCTCAACTGCATGGAAGTAAGGTTCTAAAAAGAAGGAGATCTCAGTGAGTCCCTTGGACTGTCCCCAAACAATAGGAGAAACAAAACACTGCAGAGTTAACGGGCTTGAGTGAGCCTGCTAAGAACTAATCACGATATAGGCTTTATAACACAGTGTGCTGCGTCATTTCTAAATGAATCATAATCCTTTCTTAAAAACAGGAAAAATAAAGGCAGCCACTACTTGTTACTAATGCAACAGTGCTGCACTCATTGTTTGCTTAGGTCTGTAAATCTGGCAAGAAGAGGTTACTAAACATTTTTAGCAGCCTGCATCTTGAAGGAGGGACCCACCCACAGGTAGCTATTAAATAAGTACTAAGCAGGTCATTTTGGCTCAGGTCACAGATTAATAAAAAATGAGGTTTCCGTTGCTTTTCTTTTCAGATTGAAGAATGTAACTTATTACAATAAATAATGACAATACATGGAAAACAACTTTTTAAACAACAAAAAGATCCCATTCGCTTTTTCTTCCAGTCCTTATGCAGTACACCAGGGTGATTCACTCGTGGTCCTTCTCCCAGACATCACTTGCATCCTGCTTCCTGACCGACCCAGAAGCCCGCGCTGGCGCACACACCCAGGCACTGCTCTGCTACTGCACCCTATGCAGGCCTCCTGGGCTGGCGCTGGCCCTGCCCCATCTCCCCATCTCTGCCCCCTGCTTTGCTAGCTCCACCTCCCACTCCACAGGAAGGGCACTGCCTGGGGGACTGACACTACTGACCCCTGGGCCCTAATTCCAGCTTTCTTGAGTTCTCCTTTGGAGAAAAAAAAAAAACTACATAAATAGGATAAGTATCCCATGTTTTTTTGCATCTTTGCTCTGAAAGCAGGAAAGTCACTGGATCCCTCCAGCCCCTTGAACAGCAACCACGAGCAGCAATTACGAAACGGCGTTTGTCTTTAGCATTGGCTCAGCTCTGCTGTTCTACCTCCGCCCCGGGTGCAGGGGTGTGGGGGGACACACGGGCCTGCGACCCCATGGTCAGGGGCGAGGACGACACACACGGGGCCGGGGACCCCAGGTCGGGGGGTGGGGCACACACGGGGCCTGCAACCCCAGGTCGGGGGTGGGGGGGACACACATGGGGCTGGGGACCCCAGGTCGGGGGGGACACACAGGGCCTGCAACTCCACGGTCGGGGTGGGGTTGGGCAGGGGACCTGTGACCCCATGGTCAGAGTGGGGGACACACACGGGGCCGGGAACCCCAGGTTGGGGGGGGACATACATGGGGCTGGGGACCCCACGGTCGGGGGTGGGGAACACACAGGGCCGGGAACCCCAGGTTGTGGTGGGGACACACACGGGGCCGGGGACCCCAGGTTGGGGGGTGGGGCACCACGGGGCCCGCATCCCCAGGTTGGGGTGGAGGACACACAGGGCTGGGGACCCCAGGTCGGGGGGTGGTGACACACGGGGCCGGGGACCCCATGGTCGGGGGGGTCACACGGGGCCTGTGACCCCATGGTCGGGGGGGGGGACACACACGGGGTCATGGACCCCAGGTCACAGGGTGGGGCACACACAGGGCCTGTGACCCCAGATTGGGAAGGGGGACACACATGAGGCTGGGGACCCCAGGTTGGGGGGAAACACACAGGGCTTGTGACCCCAGGAGGGGGGACACACACGGGGCCGGGGACCCCAGGTCAGGGAGCACACGCAGGGCTGCTTACCGCCTCCTCCCTGCGCCCGCTCCACCCAGGTGAACGTGATGGCCCCCTCCCGGCAGCTCTCGCTGAAGCGCAGCAGGAAGGTGCCTGGCTGCTGGTCCTTGAGCAGCGCGCGTTCGCGCTCCTTGCTGATGAAGCCCACGATGCACCTGCGGCCCAAGTCAGCGGCTGTGAGGCCCGGCGTGCTGGCAGCTCGCACGCTGGCTCCCGAATGGACGCGATTACCGAAACTCGACGGGAGCCCCCCGGGTGTGCAGGCCTTTTCAGAGGCCCTGAATTTAACTGACCCTTCAGGCAGCATTTCGCCTGTATGTGCGCACACTCAGGTCCACACAAGCCAGTAACGTGGTGACAAGGAGATGCACAGATGATCGATAAATACTCGCTGGATTCACGAGCCTTTCATACTTATTTGATGACCTTTTTTTTCACTTGATGATTTTTAAAAGGACATGAGAATGTCTGAATTTCTGCATCTTTTCTACTGGAGGGGAAGGCTCCCACAACATAGCCCCATGTCCTGGCCCTTCCGGGAAGTTAAAGCCTTTGTTGAAATAGCAACTGACCCCGGGAACAACTCAGATAAAAACAATTCACTGAATTGAAAGGGTTTTCTTCTTTCCTAGCAGCAATATAATAAGTAAGGGCTTAGGAAATTTTTATCAAATGAGTGAATGCATGAGCAGCACTCAAAATATCTTAATTAAGAGTTGAAAACCTATATCCACAGGCTATGAAAGTGGAAGTCTGGTCCTCGGAGGTTCCACGATCACGAAGCCCTGGTGGACGGCCCGTAAGTGTCCATTTCTGTGAGGGGCACACAAGTCTTGTCAAAGAAGAACGTCTGTCCAGTCAGGCCAGGCTCAGCCCCGCAGCAAGAGGCGTACGCTAAAATTATGTCTTGAAAATAAATCTATCAAAGGCCCTTACCCATCATTCCAGAGGGAGAGCAGGTGTTTTTTAATGAGTTCAAGGATGCTTTCAATCCAAAGCCAGAAAGGAAAATTTTTATCATTTATATTTTCCTGGAAGTGTAGAAAACAGACACATTAGGAGCAGAGGAATGCAACAAAGTGACTTACCAAGCCTCTTCCCACCGTCAGATTTGTTTGTGAAGCCGCCCTGCTGCCCCCACATGCACTATCCCCCGAGGAGCCACTGCCTCCTTGGCAGCAGGTGGATGCCAGGCGGACGCCGGGCTCCCCGCTTCCGGGCCCAGGCTCTGCTTCTCTCTGCAAACTGGTGAACCAGCCCAGGAATGGCCTCGGCTCGATCGCGGAACCAAAGCTGCCCTCCCGCTAGTGAAATCCAGCTGTGTGGCTCGTCCACACGGTCTGGGGACCCCAGCAGGTCTGGTCATTCCCCCCAGCGGGCCCTGGGCGGAGCAGGCCGGGGAACGTCCTGGGCCGTCCAAGGCGGCACAGAGCTCACATGTGTCCTTGCCCGAGGAGCGGCGAGGCTGAGGGAAAGGCAGGCTCACTAGGGTAGGAAGACCGTTATCACACCTGCGGGTGATTCCCACAAGACGCGCTTGGAGACTAGCCTCCCACACCCAAGAGAGCGACCAACTGGCCCCAGGGCTCCGGGGCCAGGGCCAGGCGCTAGCACGCTGCAGCACAGGGCAGAGCGGCTGGCACAACAGAGCCCCGGGGAACCTCCACGGACAGCGAGAGCTCGGAGGCAGACCGAGGTGGCACCCACCTTACAGAACCTCGTCCACGGGATGAGGCCATCGGGGCCGGCGTTGGGACCTAAGCAAGCAAACACAGGCTTTTTCAGGAAACAGGAGTGGATTCTGAAGCTTTGGCTGGACGGGTGGCTCCTGTATTTCCTCTCAAAGAGCCAACACCCAGCAGAGGAAGGCCGATATTCTCAGACACGTGGGCGCTAACTAACGGCGCCCTGGAGAGGCCTCCCCTTGGTCCCTGTCGGTGCAGCATCACCCCCCCCCCGCCACCGCCTCCTTCCTCAGCAGCCTCCTCTCCCACTCGTCCTCCAGAGCCTCTTCAAACTGCAGACTAAGGCCAAGGTCACCCCTAGGTGATCCACTGCACGGACGCTTGGCTCTCCAGGCTTACTTCGGGTAGGATCTGGCCATTTCCCTCCACCCTCCTCCAAACAGGACACGGGCTCGGGGAGCCTGATGCAAATCAAAAGCCAAGCGAGAGAGAGGAGAGCAGGGAAGGAAGCCTGGTGGTTATCACTGCACAAATTAAAGCAGCCCAGGCCGTGCAGGTGCTGAGGCCGCCATCTCTGTAGGAACCACAAACAAGCCTGTCCAGGCAGAAAGGGCATCTGTCTTCATTGTCACCAAATAAGGAGCCAGGACAAGGTGAGTTCATACACCTTACTGAGCAGCGTAAGACCCCTACCCTGACGGCTGTACGGCCACAAGAAGACACCCGAAGAGCTATCGGGTGAGCGAGGCTCTCCTGGCATTTGCAGTATGTGTGATCCTGCTGTACAGAAGCAAACCTGGAGGAAAGGTGCCTGTGGATGTTTAAATTGCTCATTCTTTGAAGACCTGACCTCGAGACTAGTAGGTCTCCAATCTCCTTACGTAAATGACTAATAAATCCATGACGTTAGCTACTGAAAGGGAATTCTCATGGACTGGACCCTGCCGAGCTGTCAGGGACATCACCCTAGTGGGGCTGCGTCTCCATGCACCTCAGCCCCCTGAGGCCGGAGCCCGGGGTGTACGCTATGTGGTGGGCGTCCCCAGGCCCTTCTTAGTCTACTAATGTTGGGGACTTACGTTTTCCTCCCCAAGGTTAATAAGACTTCATCTTTCTCATCAAAGCATTTCTTTTACCCACAAATAATATATTTTACGGAATTCAAACATATTTCCCTTAGGCAACCTGCTCAGAGATGCTAATGTGAGATAATCAGGAAATGATTCATTCGTTTTATCAGGGGTATACCTACTTCCAAGGTGAACTGTCTTTTTTTTTTTTTTTTAAGATTTTATTTATTTATTGATGAGACACACAGAGAGAGGCCAAGGGAGAAGCAGGCCCCATGCAGGGAGCCCGATGCAGGACTCGATCCCAGGACCCCGGGGTCACACCCTGGGCTGAAGGTGGCGCTAAACCGCTTAGCCACCCAGGGATCCCCTGAACTGTAATTCTCATTTAGCCATAACAAGCTGCAGCTGGAAAAGCCAACAGATTTTTTTTTTTTTTTTTTACCATTCTCCTACCTTGAACAAAATAGAGAGCAAAGAGGGAAAGGAGCAAGTGGAGATATTTTGTGTGAATTTCAATTTTCACAGACATGCAGCCCATACCGAGTAGCTTCTCTCCCAGCATGTTCAGTTGGTCCACATTGAGACCTCTTTTGGTGACAGAAGAAAACTGCCAACTGAGCACCTCCGAGAGCTGGGACCATCGTGCACAAGGCGGGTTCAGGAAGAAGGACAGGTTCTAGAGAAAAAACACCCGAAAGCTCAGGCCGTCGGTTGTAGGCAAGGCACTCAAACACTTGGGGACCTGCACCAAAGTTCGGTTCTAGTTTCTGTGACACACGGAAGCTGTCACACAAGAGAAACACAGTGGATTCTCGTTATTTGCAGGTTCACCTTTGTGAATTCAATCTACTCACGGAAAGCTACTTTACCCCTCAAATCGCTCCTCAGGGCACTTCTGGAGCTTTCTGTAGACGTTCCCGGGAACAGAGCGCGAGCGGAGTCGCCCACATGTGTTTCCAGGAGAGGCCAACAGAGCGACTGCCTTTTCGCTTCAGCTCTCCTACTGCAAACCACTGTCCTTTTTGAGGTCTATTTAGTGCCGTGTCTTTTGCCTTTTTGTGGGTTGTTTTTAAAAAATTTCATTTTTAACGTGATCCCAGGAAGAGCACTGAGGCGTCGCCTGATGTTCCTACGTGCAAGATGGCCCCATGGGGAAGATACGTGTGCTTAGGTGAGCGTCGTTTGGCCATGAGGTACCGTGCCGCTGGCCCTGAGCTCAATGCTGATAGACCAACAAATAAATTAGATAAAGTGTCTTTAAACAGAAGCACACACAAGCAAGGCCGTGCCCTGACAGGTGTGCGGGCAATCGTTCAGTGCTCGCTGTGGCAGCGTGCACGGGCCCAACGAGCTGTGATTAATCAGCAGGGAGCATCCATGCTTACGAGTGAGCTGAGCACGCCTGTTTAGCAGATAGATATGCTATTTTTTTTTTTTTTTAAGAAAAGCAATACATGAACTCTTCCACAGTAAGAGTCCCAGGAAAGCTACTGCCTGAGCTTATTCCCTCAGAAGGAAAACCGTAATCCTCATTTCTAATACACATATACGCTTCCCTTTCCTAGAATTACTCCATATTCTTGACGAAGCCACTGGAGTCCTGTCCCTTTTCTCTGCACATCCGGCCCTGAGGGGCTTGGCAGGAGCCACACAACGGGGTCTCTGTCTAGCCCTGGTACAAAAGCAGATGTGTCTTCCGTACCCTGGGTTCTGTCACCAGCATGTTGTACCACAGGATGGAGGCCCAACCGCTCGGGAGCTGGCTGACATTGGAGATCACCACGACGGGCAGAGAGGTCGTCTGAAAGAGGACAAAGACCGTGAAGTCGTCAGAACCACAGAAATACCGCCTGCAGACCCTGGGTGGCCTCCAGACCAAGCAAGCGGTGGTTTGTAAACTTGCGCGTTTTTGTATTTGAGCACAAAAGATGTAAAGTTAAGTTCTTTTGTTTCTAGTTTTTCATTATAGCTTTCAGTTAAGAAATAAGTCTCCCTGCTTCGTATAAAAAAATTAACATACGACACCTCAACCAGAACATTTTACAAACATTTCGTTTGTAGCATTTAAATGGGAGTTCAGTTCTCTAGCTTCCCAAACCATTCAATTAATGTCAAGACAGCATTAGCTAAAAAGGATTGTCTTTTTTGGCAATTACCACATCTAAAACAAAACCTGACAAAGAAAAATACAGGTAACATTGAAAGGTAAAAATAAAGATGTCCATGTCTGAACCACGAAGTCTCACCTCGAGGTCGATGACCAAACCAGGCTGGCACAACTGGGTCTCAAAACTAAGGGAGTGGAGCTCTTCGGTGACGATCAGAGGGCCCTTCGAAGAGAAGGGGGGAGTTCAGTGATTCATCCAAGCGCCCTGCAACTTCCAGGGGTCGGATAAGCCCTGCGGCAGCTGCAGAAAGCCTGACCCCCAACCAAGTGCAATCCAGAAAAAATATTCCACTTTTCAGGAACAATCTCAGATGTAATTATCGTACCTCAGTGTTCTCTGTCTTAAAGGTACGATTTCTGGAGCCATGGCAAGGGCTACAGATTAACAGAAAGACCAGCCCACAGGAAAACAGCAGCTTCTAAGGGGTTTACTGGCCATGCCGGGCTTCCGGCTCTCAGCCCCCTCGGCCTGCTGGCCTTCTCCAGCCCCGGCTGACCCTGCCCGCTGGAAAGCACCCGTGTCCCCGTGGGATTACCTCCTGGGGGACCGATTCGCATAAGCCTGGTGGGTCACAAAGTCCTGGGCTAACGCGGAAACCTAACAGTTTCCAAGCGCCTTCACACCACTATCAGGTGGGAGCATCACGGCCACTCGGCAGGACAGGCGGCTCTGGTGGCAGGCAGGGAGGAGAGGAAGCCCCAGGAGGCCGCGGGGGGAGCAGGGGTGAAAGCAGGGCCAGGCAGCGCGGGCGCACCCAGCCCACCCGGCCACCCTGTGTCCACCTGGCGGGAAAGGACGGCTCGCTGCAGGCCGCGGGGGCCCAACACACCCTGCACGAGAGCAAGTGCATAGGGTCTGCTGTTCAACCAGTTCCCTTTTTAACACATCACAAATTTTAACTCCTGCCCCAAGGACCTGGCTGTAAAATGGAAACCGACGGGACGACGATGCTACTGGGCGGTGAGAAAGCCCTCGGGTCCCGTAATTTTCAGCATGGCCGTCCCGAGTCTGAGTCGTCCCCGAGCCGGCCGCTGGCTCCAGCCCAGAGAGTAATTCCCGTGACCCCTAGCTGAATCCCACACGCTTCCCGTGAGCCACGCTCTTCGCCTGTGAAACGTGAGTAGTGCAGGAGCCCGTTGCACCCCCTCCGCCGCGACGGCCATAGAGCGTGAACGTGTTTTTGCCGTCACCCCAGACACGCTGGGTCCTCAAGCTCACCCCCGGCTCTTCCCTGCTGGGTCTGAACCTCTCCCACAAGTGTCCCTGGCCCTTGGGCTGCTGAGCCAACCTGCCTGGACACACCTGCTGGGTAGACACCATTCAAAACAGAGGGAGACTCACCTCATTTGTTCTGGTGCCAGCATTTTTCTGTTCCTTCAGTTGCTGGGGAACAAGAGACTGTGTTAGGCAACAGCACGATAGTGCTCACGGCCATAGGTCGTCTATGAGCAAAACCCAGGGCAGGGTTTATAAAGGATAAAGGGCGTGAAATGATCTTCAGAGGGCCGGACGGGACGGGACAGGACCCGTGTGGGCTTCCCGGGCCTCGGTGCCTTTTGGCAGCAGCTTGACACCAGGCAAACGGCAGAGTCTGCACGGGTCCTGCACGGGTCCCATCCTGCTCCCTCCCCCGCGAGGTCCCCCATAATCTTCATGACCGGCCTCATGCTCCCCAGGCGTAGGGCGCCGCTGATGCTGCCCTCGGAAGGATCGAGCCCTGAGGCTCTAAGGAAGCCTGGGGCGCAGAGCGGCCTGGGTGGATGGGCTCTCGTGGAAGCGCTGACTTCACTAACCAGGGTTCACTGGCTTACAGAAGGGCTGCCACCGAAGCTGCCCACGGCTCCCGCTCCCGCCGGGCTCTGTGCCCGCGCTCCAGATCCACCAGCAGCCCCCACTTTCCACGGACGCAGGCCAAAGGCACCACCTGCTTGCCACCCCTGCTGGGCTTCTACGGCTGCTGGAACGGGCCCACTCCCCGGGAGACAAGGCAGGAGACGTGGTGGTCGTGGGCAAGGTGGCTGGCAAGGGATGGTGACCTCCTGGGGTCGGCCACGCCGGGAGCCCAGAGAAGCCAGGGGACTGCAAGGCTCTGGAGCGAGGGGCCACACATTCCTTCTGTGCACGCCGGCTCAGGGGGTACCCCACCCAGACTGCTGCACCCTGGGAGGTGGTCTCGGGCAGAGGCAGCACGAGGAGCAGCAGGGTTTCCCAAGGGCTGCCTGGGTCCTGGCCACGAGCTGCAGAAAGCCACCTCCCGGGGCTGTGTCCCTGTCACACAGGGAGCCGAGCGCTCGGTCCTGATGTGCCCGACCCAAGGCCGAGAAGGGGAAACTGGTGTCCCTACCAGGTGCCGGAACTCTGCCGCCAGGCTTCCGTTGGTGGACTCCTCCATGTTCATCACTTTCGTATGCGTGCCCAAAATGTTGAACTTTCTAAACCTAGACAATACAGGGTAGAGACACCTCAGAGGCTCAGAACCGTTAAACAGACAGACAAAGACAGTACAACCCGGTGCAAAGTGGCTGACATACCCTTTTACTGTATTCCTCTCACTCACATCTCTGGGGAAAAAAAAAAGAAATACACAGATCAATAAAGTCATACACACGCATATTGAAGTTTTGACATGAGCTTTAACAAAGATGTAAAAACCAAGTCGAAGATCAACATGGAATCTACACCTGTCACTTCACTCCCTCCTGCTCCCCCACCCCGAGTCAAGCAGCACCAGCTCTGCCAAGGAGCCAAGGACGCCCGTGACCCTGGGCAGGTGCACCACCCAGGCCCCCATCTCTCGTCCAGCGCGCTGTGGAGAGCACCAAAAGCATGGGATGCCATAAGTGGCGAGCTGGCTATGTGCTGTGACCACCGCGAGGCTACACTTCTGGCCACTTCCTGCATGCCCTCAGGCCCCGGGAGGCTGCGCAGCCACGGGGCAGCAGAGCCCACGTCTGCAGTCAGGCTGGGGAGCTCCCAGGTGATGGCTAAATGCTCTCTACTATCTTTAAGGCTCTCGTGAAAGTATTGGAAGAGTCAATGATTTGAGGAAGCTTTCAAGTTTTAAATCTGAGGTTAAATCTTGAGCAGCCCTGGTGGCTCAGAGGTTTAGCGCCACCTTCGGCTCAGGGCCTGGTCCTGGAGACCGGGATGGAGTCCCGCGTCGGGCTCCCTGCGTTGAGCCTGCTTCTCCCTCTGCCTGTGTCTCTGCCTCTCTCTCTCTGTGTCTCATGAATAAATAAATAAATAAAATCTTTAAAAAAATCTTGAGCAGCCTCACCTCTAACGTAAGTTCAGTGACTACGCGGTCATGTTCTGGACTCGCAAGAATCTGTCGGGTGGAGGCGCAGACTGGACGCCATTAGCCACCCACAGGGACGCAGCCGGCTTCCTTTCCTACCTCAACCAGAAGTCCAACATCTCTGTGAATGACAATCACCACCAGCTACGCGGGTGACCAACACTTCGGGGCGGGTGGGCAGGGCGCGGGGTGTTGGAGAAAAGAAAAGGAATAGCGTGACGCAAAGACACAAAGGTGCCCTTTCAGAGCTAAGAAGAAAACCCAGAGCTGGAACAGAGGAGAAACCAAAGAGCTGAACAAACCAGAAGAGAGACCGCGGTAGACAAAGTGTAACAGCCATGAAATCTCTGCTGCTCTTCCCTCCGAGAGACGAGTGTCTCCCCGTCCCTGGGGGCGCAGGTGACTCAGGTCGGCCAACAGAGTGGATGGGAGGATGCATCCACACCAGGAGCTCCAAGCCTCGCCTCCACGGGCCTAGCACGCCGCCCTTCTCACCCACCTGGGGTGCTGTCACCATGCAGGAAGGCCGGGCGGGCTCCTGAGAGGCCCACGGATGGGGCCCGGTCGTCCCAGCCAGGACCTCAGACCTGCCATGAGCCCAGGCTGACCCCGACCAGAGGACTACCTAGAGCTCAGACGGGGACGAGCCAAGCAGCTTCGGGTTCTATTAGGTTTCCAGGTGAATCATTAAGCAGCAAGAGCTGATACACAGAGAAACCACAGCTGATGGCAAGAAAGGCACAGAGTCCGAGGAAGAACATTGTTTCAGGCTGGAGACAAGACACCAGAGGAAAATGGCCCGGATCATCACCTACAGTCTTGGCTAAGCCAGTTGGTTACATGCAAAACAGAACACGGACTGTATCAGGGGCCGGGGCCACGAGGGAGCCAAGACTTAGGTCAGGCCTAGTCCAGGTCCAGGACCTAAAGACAAAATGCGGTGGGACTGCCCCATTCAGGCCCCCGTGAGAGCCTGGCAGTCCTGGGGGTCCCTAGGGCCCAGGAGAGACAAGGGTGGACCCCGCAGGCTCCACACGGTCCCAGCAAAAGGCTGTCAGCCACATTCCAGAAGCACCCACGACCGGGTGGGTGCTACCGCATGGACAACTGTGGGCCTGGTGTTGGACCAAGGGTCTTGTCCTCTTCCAGGAGGCAGGAGGGGTGGTGTCCGGGCCCGGCTGCTCCAGACCTGATCCTTACAAGTTCATATGCACAAAATACGCTCGTTCTTTCATCTGTTTTTGGTCTAAAAAGGCACCAGGAGGTTGATGTCAGCTCTAGGGGAAGCTCCCGGTGTCTGGGATGGGGGCCATTAATTTAAATCTCCTAGGATCACTTATACATAGTCCCGGTGCAGCACTGTGTTGGGTTAAGAAACCCGGCATTTCAACAGTGTATGTGGTGAGATAATATCAAAAATATCTTACTTATCAAATAAGACTTTGACTTTCAAATTGTAATTCAGCTCCTGCAGTTTCACCAACAGTCTGGAAAGAAAAACAAAAGTCATTATTACTTTAGGAAATGGTCTGTCCCAGTTTATTAAGCCCTTTCCCTCCCGGTGAACATTTCCGTGGTCTAGTTACCACGAACAGCAGAATCGACTTCCGTGTATGTCAACTTGGATGTTTTTTTAAGTGCATCTGCGGGTAAGTCCCTGGCTGTGGAGTTGCTGGGGCAAAGCTCTGACACTAAACTCCGAGAGAAAGCAGCAGCTTTTCCATATCCGCCAAACGTGAGTGGGGGTACGGCTTCCCCACACAGCCTTGCCAACACTAGGTTTTATCAAAACATCTAGCATGGGTAAAGGGTAAAGCCTAGCAAACATATTTTTACTGGCACCTGTATCTAATGTTTGTCCTGTCGGGGAAAATACGAATCCTTACCCATAACCAGGAAAAAGAGGCTAACATCTACAGTGATCCCAGGGTGGTGTGAAGGATGGGATGAAGCCCTACGGAGGGACGTGCGTGTCTCCTCTGATGAGCTAGAAACCTTGGGCAGGAGCCCCTAACTGGTCTGCTCCGCTGGACGGGGTGAGGTTTCTAGACCCCCTGCAGTGGCGGCAGAGCCGGCCCTGGGGACCTAGGTCGAAGCCCCCCGGAGAAAGGACTAAGGCCAACTCGGAAGGCGCGTCCAGCTCCTCACCAGAAGAACAGCTCAATAAATTCGCCATTCAGCAGAGAAAGGAGAGCCATCTGTCCTCATATGGAAACACTTCTGCCATTTATTAGCAAGGGAAAAAGTAGGCTGCAAAACAACTTGTAGAGCGGGACACTAGCTTTTAGAAATAAAATCCTGTACATTGTAGTGTGTGGGTCTTTGTGTATGTGTGTAGACACGTGCAGAATTCTGGGAGGGAGGACTGGCACCGGGCTGTTTTCCGTGGTGGTCTACACACATTCAGACCACAGGGAAACTCTGAAACCCGATGGAAGCTTGGACCCAGTCACCAGAAGAACACACGTGTCACGGGTCCATATTCACACACACTGCACGTGGTCTCAGGGGCACGTGAAGCCCAGGTTAGAAGCTCATCCCCAGGAGGGCATGACGCTGCCGGAACTGTTGCTCTCCCCCAGGTGCAGTCCTGCCCTTTTGAAGTCCTTTTTAAGGCGAACATGCATCACATTAACGGGGGAAAAAAACCCAGTGTGGTGTGCATACATAAATATTTGTTGTATTCCTATCCTTTTTTTTTTTTTCCTATTTCTTTTAATGGAGAAGATAGACTCTTAGACGTCCCAAGCACGAACGCAGCAGGCTGGAACGCCGCTGCAGGGTGCGTCCTTTGGAGCACCCCCCGTGACAGTTCTGGGGGCCCAGGGACACAAAATGCATAGCGGAGGGCCCGGGGCGTCCACGTCTTGGGGTTACCTCAGCTTCACCGTGAACTGGACCCCCGTCTTCAAGACCAGCGGCCTCTGGGGATGAGTTGGCATGCAAGGCTGTCTTTCCACCACAAAGGAGCTGTGAATTCCGAGCAAAGTGCACATTAGCATTTCCGTGAAGGCTGAGGCAGGACAAATTATTTTCCTGAAACAGGAGAGGGGACTGGAGCGTGCAAGCGAAAACTCGGTTTGGAAGATTCGAACAAGTTGATGAACAAAGTGAGGTTTGTCAGTCAGCACGGAAACCTCCATACCACATCTGCACTTGACGTGAGGCCACAGTCGCTGCAGCGACCTGCGACACCTTTGCCAGCAAAAGCCCCAGGTTGGGCTATGTTCATTTAGGAAGATGCATGAAGAACCAAGTTTGCTAACTAGACCTGCACTGGCCATCACTGTGCAAAATACATGAACACACAATCGCTATGTGTCCACCTGAGCCCAATGTAAGGTCTGTCAGTTTAAAGATAAACAAGTACAAAAAATAAAAAGGAATCTTGCTACAGGTACAAATGAACCAGGTAACATACTGCTCAGTACCATAATCTGAAGCGGGTATTCCAGTATCCGTTAGAGAGCCGTTCTTCTGGTACAATTGTTTAGTAATACTTACTACCTCACAAGCATTTCCAAATATTAATTTTCATTTTAAAAGGGATCAAATTTGCATTCCAAAACCCAAGTAAATACATATCCTTGGTTATTTCAAGATAAAGCCCTGAGGTGGTTCTGTTTGGACATTAGCCGCAGGACGCGGAGGGTATTTATGTCAAGTGAGTACGAAAAAAACTACAATAAGGACTCGTCTTTCGCTCGCATTTGTATCTACTAAGCACATCTGGAAGGCCTGCCCACGGGCCCGGTACTGGGTACTGGGCCAGGTCCCCATGGGGGGAAAAGGATGACAAAGGCACATCTATGTCTTCCAAGAACTTGTAATTTATGTCACAGGCAACAAAAATACACGCCCACAGGTACATAAGAAATCCAGAACGGGCGAATAAAGACTGAGTCGTGCAGATCCGGGAGGGAAGTGCCGTGTTTGGAAATTCTGGGAAGATTTTGGGACAAGATAGAAGCTGCAACTTGCAGGAGGATACAGTTTTGAGGTGAGGTTCCGAGGGGGTGGCTTGGCGGTGGGGGGTGGGGGGGCACAGGACAGGCACGGCGAAGTGACAAGCTATAGCCCAGGGGCCATGAGAACAAAGAGCCAGCGGCATGGACAGGGGTCCCGGAAGACGTGAGTGCCCTAAATGAATTACATGACCTACTAAACTTCTAAAGCAGCTGAGAGAAGAGTAAACCGCTCCCCCCCCCCCCAACCCGGGGTAAAAGAGCTGCAGGAGAAGCCCAGGGATCTCTCCTTTACCTCTGAATGAGCTGCTGGAAAAGGTTGAAGGTGCGGTCCCACAGCCCCTGCTTGTTTTTTGTAATCGGGTCGTGTTCGTACGTGTACTTCTGTTCCAGTTCCTCGAGCTTTTTAAGCTGCTGACGCACCTGCTGCAGACTCTCGGCAACTACGGTGAACCTGGGGGTACGAGACCCATGGGCTTCCCTCAGAAGCAGTGTCCCCACGGCCCAGCTCCCAGGCCTCCCCTGGCTGCAGAGACGGCCCCCTACATGTCGGGCTGCAGCCTGCGGGCCCCAACTTCAGGGGCAGGGTGAGGGCAGCAGGGACGTGGGGCCCTGAGAGCGGGCGTGAGGGCAGCAGGGAGCCCAGGCAGGCTTGACAGAGGTGGACAGGACGGACTGGACAGATGAGGACGGGGACAGGGGGAGCCCAGGCAGGCTTGATGGGGGCGGACAGGGATGGGGGGAGTGCAGGGCTGCGGAGGGCAGGGCGCTCAGGCCCCTCGGCCTCACCCCCTGGAAGCCTGACTGCACAGAGCCTTCTCCCTGGAAAGGCCACGTCACTGCGTGGTCCCTGCCAGGAGCCCCACCAAGTGGTCGTGTGGCCGTGACGGGGACGCAGGCTCACCCTGGCACCCAACACAGGCCCAACAACCTGCGGGCAGCACCACGACGGCCCCAGAGCCCAGCTGCGGCCCTGAACAGACTCCTGTGGCCTTGGTGACAAGGCAGCGGGGGTGGGGTGGTGGGGTGACAGTACCTCTGCAGGGACATTCTAACTAAGCACAAGACATTTGGAATATGAGCAGCCAATCCACAGAATAAAAATAAAGGCTGAGTATGAAGTGTGAATTCTAAAGAATGTATCAATTCAGAGAACTTCCTGAGATCTCTGGGCCTTGGGCACCTGGGGGCCACTCAGGCCACCGTCCCCTCACCTCCACTCTAAACCACCTGTTCCGTCCACTCTGCTGGCAGCGTCTCCAGGGGGACACTAACATGCTCAGGTCACCCAACTGGCCTTTCTGTCTATAGTCTACTCTCCAGACTGTTGCCAGGGTGACCTAAGTCAAAAAAGCCCCAGAGAAGTGAACCTCCACTCCAGTAAACAGCCTTCTTGGCTTGTCAGCAGCCCCAGACACGGTCCTGCTCCCGGCAGCAGGTGAGATCCCCCAGAACCAGGCTCCAGCTTCCTGTCCTCCTGGGCACCCTACTCTGCAGCCACCCAGCACGGGGTACGGCCCAGCCTCTCCTCCCGGGACTGTGCGCAGTACTCCTCTTCCAGGTCACGTCACTGCAGGGCCACTTCCCCGGAAACCTTCCCCAGTGACTCCTCCCCTCGCCTCCCCAGACCTCCGCCAGCAGCCTTCTACTGCACAGGAGGAGCACACCTGGGTCCCGCCCCCACACGGAGACTCCTTACTGGAAGGACCGAGAATCCCTGGTCCCGCACTCCTAGGGCTTAGCCCAGGGCCGGGCACACAGCCTCTAGCAAGCGTTTCTGAGATGGAGGACTGAATGAGTGATCCAGACTATTATTTCATGCAAGCCTGGAAAATGTCTTACGTGGTCTTGTTTTCGATAAGACACAGGGCTCAAGTCGCCAAATGTGTTCTGTGACTATGTTGCCAGCGTTTTGGCACAAACGATGCGTCCCATGGTGCATGGACAGTGGGGAGGGGCGTGCTCCCAACCAAGCAGAACTTGGCTGAACTTGGCCACAGGCATGAACAGCGTGTGCTTTTCAAGTGCTTCCAGGGCCAGAAGAAGCCCGACTAAACCACAGTCTAAACCAAAGTTCTGACGGGGTCCCTTCCACTAACAATGACTCGAATGCGCACTTTGAGTTCACAGGGTCGGCCAGTCGGATTAGGAGCAGCTTACCAGTTCTGCAGCTGATCGAGACAAGCATTGGGGGGTCCCCCAATGCAGGCGCTCTGCTGTCTCCGCTTCCACTCCACCAGTTCATCGTTAATCAGGGCTTTCTGGGTAAGTTCTGTGACATTCAACAACTCTATTATTTTGAGAACTACTTCCTAAAGGGAGAGGAAGACACAGTGAGGTAAATTCATCTTTAATCACTGAATTTACTTATTTTTTTAAAAAAGACTATTTATTCATGAGAGACAGAGAGAGAGAGGCAGAGACACAGGCAGAGGGAGAAGCAGGCTCCCTGCGGGGAGCCTGATGCAGGACTTGATCCCAGGACCCAGGGGTCACGCCCTGGGCTGAAGGCGGTGCTAAACCGCTGAGCCACCCGGGCTGCCCTAATCACTGAATTTAAAAATCTTTTTTAAAAGCAAAGCAAATAATATTTCAACTGGGGCTCTAAACCAAGTGGTTATAAAAATAATTTTTCCTCTCTTCTAAACTTCAGGCCTATTATTTATAGTCTGTGATAAAAGCAACAGGTTATTCTGGAAAGCGAATCACTACCTTTCTCTTATTGTCAAGCATTAAATACATCTTCTGGATCAACATCTGTTCTTGCTTCTGATCATTCTTTGCCACACCATTGGCTTCATGTTCTGCGACATGGGGGAGAGAGCAGATAAATGTAAATGTAAAAAAACCAAAATCACCTAAATCGAAGGTTCATGTACACTTAGAAGAAATATAACCCAAACACTATCAGCTGAAAGATCAAAGTTTCGTCTTCAGTTTTTATTGAATGAGAGAAATGCCCTAAGTATAGAAGCTGGACAGGCTGAAACAAAGCACTCATTTCCAGTGACCCAAGTAAACTGGAAACAGTACCAGCTGGCTCTTGAGTCATTGTTAGAATGTTACTTAAATGAATACAAGTGACAAAACTGAAAATCTCATATAAAGAATGTATACAAAGTGTATCTGTAGCTTTGAAAGACAAGCCCACAATTGAGAAGCAGTAGCTCAGGTTCCTTTCTCTCACACCAGCCCTCAGATTATCCTAATAATCTTTCCAGATTACCCTTGGCGTCCTCCAAGCGGTCACCAGGGTCACAGTAATGCCTCCCATGTTTTACATAATGCACGCATTTGGGTTCTTTTCACTTGATAGCCTGTCATCGTTAAAGATGAGCAACAAAATGGAGTGAGACGACTTTAGAACATGAAGAGCGATGCTGAACTTCTCTGTGAAGTGTACGTAGGAAGCTGCAGTGTCTGGGAGAGCTTCCAGCAGGCAAGCTCCACACACCTGTCAGTCTAAGTCCATCAGCGGGCTAGGTACAAGAAGCCACAGGCGACCAGCGCTTGTCAAGGGGGGGGGGGGGGATATGATACTGGCCCCACCCCTACCCCAGCAGCTGGCAAAGGCTGGAGACTGCTCTGTTCCCACCAGGGGATTTGAGATAGTTCTACTGCCACCTGGTGGGTAAAAGTCAGGGATGCTGCTAAACATTCTAGAACACACAGGACAGCCCCTCACAACAAGAAATTATCTGGCTCAAAATGTCACCAGTACAGAGGTTAAGACCCTGGCTTGCATCATCAAGAGGCCCAAACTAGCAACTCAGAGTCATAAAACATCTGACAAACACGAAGACCTACTTGCCTTCCTCATCGAGTGTACACAGAAGTGACAGCCAGCCAAACGTTGACTCTTACCTCGGTTCTGCAAGGTTTTGCACTTAAAGTCATATTCATCCTGTAAATCTTCTAGGGTCTTGATCTCGTGCTCTATACACTACAAATAAGGATATAAACATGTTTTCCACCAATCAAATTCCAGAGACTTTAGGAAATAAGATTACTACAGGTCAATGGGACCCAGAAAAGCACGGTGACAATCCTCAAATATGAATTCAACTTGCAAAATTCTAATCACATACATAATACTATTTCCTTAATAAGCACATAATAATTTTTTAAGAGGAAAATGTACAGTTATTTTCAGACGCCTCACTTGATTTCTACTTGAATGAAGTGTTTCCTTTGGAGGCTGCAGGATAAAGTTGCTTCCAAGACTCTGGAGTTTGGAAAGACCCTGCCTGAAGCACGAAGTCCAGTCCATGCTGGTGAGATCCAGATGCCCAGGTGAGATGGCGCGCCTAGCTCAGGGCCCTTCCCAGACTCAGGCCTGCTGCCCCACAGGACTACTTCTCCCTTCCGGTCAACAGCCCTAACAATGGAGAGCGGTGAACACGTGTTCCCAAGGGCACCGGAGCAGCCCTCTCCTCCGCAGATTCAGTTCTCTTGTAGGTTTCATCTTAAAATTGTTGTATTTTCTTTTAATCAGAAATGTTAACAGAATTTCTTTTAGCAAAAGGTCTTTGTTCCCCTTCCAAGTCTTAGAATAAAACAGGTGCTTGAGAAAGATGGGCCACGTTCACCCAGGCCTCTGTGTGAGCCCAGAACACCCCAATTGGAGAAGCATGCGCATAAAAGGCTACGCAGAGCAGCAACACCCAGTTTACCGAGTGGTGGGGCAAAGTCAGCAGTTCCTGCACAATCTTACAAAGGAAGAGAGAGATAAGCTCAATGTCTGGAAGTTAGAGCAGCAGCCATAAAGGTCTATCTGCTCGTTGGTTTAGCCAATTTGTTTCCTCGTGGTTTGGAACTTAAGCAAACCTCTTCTCAGCTACTTAGAAGGCTGAAATCACTTACCACGTTTACACACCAGCAATTGAAACCTTTTCCTGTCTACAAAAAGCTAGAGGCTAGACATACATATTTCTCAATACTCACCATAACTTTGTCCTTCACGTTTCTCACTTTGCTGTCAAGCTCCTTCTGCTTGTCTAACATCACAGTGCTCTGAACGTTCCCCGACTGCGCCTGTAATGGGAGGTGGTGCGTGGTTAACAACTGGTTAACTCCTCTCCTCCGGCATAGTCAGCTGCTGGTTAGTCTCCAAAGTGAAGTCCATACCCTGCGCACACCTCCCTCCCAGACCTCCCTACAAGCTTCCCACATGAGCAGTGACAAGAAATCTCTCAGTTCTCAAGACCCCAGAAAACACTGGTCAACTATTAAAAAGACTACAAAGATGAGGCTCCGCTCAGGTCTACTGTAAACAGAGGATTTCTGCAATTGTCCATTAACTCATACGGTTGCATCGTACCACACAGGAAGTTTACCTCAGGGTTTCTCAAATTTTGTAGACAAGGTTATTCTCATTAACCCTGTACCTATTTGTCTTAAAACCTCGCAAGTCACAGTGTGGTACCCAGACCAGCAGCGCCTACAACCTGGGAGCCTGCTGGAGGTGCAGACTGTCGGGTCCTGATCTGATGACTGCATCAGAAGCCCCATTCTGACAAGACCCCAGGTGAGTCAGAGGCCTATCAAAATTGAACAGCACTGCCATTCAGGACTTCAGTGGGTATCTGCTAATGTAAGAAGCATCATCAGTGCAGGCACACGGAGTGTTCAGTCCTCATCCTTGATGATCAGAAGACTCTGACGTAGCGGTGTCTGTGCGTTCATGACCTAAGGTGTTCCCGTTTATCCTCACAGCATGGCTTACTAGGTGTTAAGTCAAGGTCAGGTAACGTCCCACACCCAGGCAGTGGAGTGGTAAACAGGAGACTGTTCTCCTACAGACTGGATTCTGGAAAGATGCTATTTTTGTTTAGAGTTAAAGCCCCTCCCATGGCAAAAAAAATGTGCCCATCAAACTTTCTTACATAGAGTCCTACATGGCACAGATTCCATGTGAGTATTTTTACATATTCAAACTTGCTAGTATTTTCTTCTTTTATATCTGGATTTTCCCCTTTGGAAAGCCTTTCTGCATTGACAGATTATAGAGGACTTCACCCATTTTAAACCAAGCACTTGCATGGTTTCTTTATTCTTTAAAATCTCTAATTCATTTGAAGTTGATTCTTGTGTTTACTGTGAAGAGTGGATACAATTGTAACTTCTTTCCTTTGTCTTAAGATTCAGTGAAAAGTTCGTATTTTCCCCAGAGCTTTGTCACTTTTAGCACACAAATTTCCTTATCTACTTGGGTTTAAGTTGTAGATTTTCTCTGCTTTTCCACAAGTCTTTCTCTTCCTAAACCCAAACCCCTGAACAGTGTTTACTTATAGAGAGTTTGGGGTATATCTAGCAGGGATGGGCCCGTCTTACTGCTGAACTTCTCCACGAGCTTCCTTGCTGTTCCTGCACGTTTATTTTCCTGATGACTTTCACAGCTTCAGAAAGCGACTTGTTATTTCTATTAGGATCACATTAAAATTATGAATGATTCAGGGAGAGCCAATATCTTTATGATGTTGTCTTTGGATTCTTATGCCTCTAACGATCTTCTCTTGTCTAACTGTATTGGCAAATAACATAATGTTATTTAAGTAGCAGTGGAAATAGAGATGCATGAACATCTCTGCCCTGGTTCTGACTGACTTACCGAGGTTTTCTGAACTACGGGACACACTGTCTACAGAACTGAGAGGTGTATATTTTAATATGCTGAAGAGGTATCTAGCAGTTCGTGTTTTTTTTAATGTCTTTTATCAGGGATGGGTTTTGGGTTTTGTCAACTCTTTTCAATAACTATAGAGATAAGCATAGGCTTCCCCCCTCCTTATATCTATTTACATAATGAATTACATCAATGCATTTCCCAGGCACAATTTACTCTGTAATTATAATCTGGAATAAATCCCACTTGGTCATAATATACTTTTTTCTTTATGTATTATTGAATTCTGATCAATGAACTATTTTATTTGGGACTTTACGTTGATTATTCATAAGGGAAATTGGCCTATAGTATCTTTTGTTCTATCTTTAGTACATTTAGGTAATCAAAGTTATTGTTTACAGAAAACTCTGGAAGTTTTCCCTCATTTTATATCCTCTGGAATCACCGAAGTTCAAAACATCTGAATTTTATCTGTGTAAAGTGTGTATTAAAAAATATATTAAAATGACTGCTAAAAAAATTAAAATGACTGCTATCTCCAGGTGCCACATGTCACTCAGAAATAAACGGGGCTGCTCTGGCCATTCAAACATATTTGTTTGTAAGATTTTATTTACTTCTGAGAGAGAGAGAGAGAGAGAGAGAGAGAGCGAGCACAAGCAGGGGGGAGAGGGAGGAGCAGACTCTGCCCCAGCAGGGAGCCCCATGTGGGCTCGACCCCAGGACCCTGGAGGCAGATGCTTAACCCACTAGGCCGCCCAGGTGCCCCGGCCATTCAGAATGAGCTGCAGCACTGAGAGGCATCTGTGCTGGTGTCTGCTGGGAGCCCGACGTGGACGCCCCGTGCTGCGGGCTCTCCTGACAGCTGGGCTACTTCACCCAGTCGCAGGGACCGGGCCCCTGGAGGATCCTGACCTCCTCCGGGTCCTTCCTCCCACACCGTCAAGGGTTAATTTAGCAAATGGGGACAAAGTGGACATGCGAGTGCAGCCGCAGTGCCAGCTACCAAGTCTCTTCCCGCTTTCACACTGGGAAATGCTGGGTGGAAAAGCTCTGGCAACTGTGGCAGAGGCCTAAGGAGCGTGGGCTCCACAAAGAAGCTTCAGCAGTCGGGGCCCAGCTCCTCCCACACCCTGGGTGCTCCGATGTCGCTCCCCCTGCCCCACTTCCTCCCTCACCCCACTGCTGGGTGACTGTTAAGCATTTTCCCATCAAGTACTTTATAAACACTAACAAGATCACTATGACCGCCCTACACCTGTGATTCTGATACTACTTCCAGAGACCGGGATCTTTGACTTGTTCACTGTCTGACAAGCCAAGAGAATCAGGAAACCATGGGAAGGTGGGAAGGTAGGTACGGAGGTGCTGACCCCCCCACTGCACACCTGAAGCTATCATCACACTGCCTGTGAACTAACTGGAGTCTAAGTAAAAGCTTTGCACCAAATGTTAAAGTCGCGAGGGACCTCTGCGGTCTTCTTGTATTTTCTCACTGCGCACCAGCACCTCTACCCGCCTTGTTTGGAGGGTTTTAATTAGAACCGGGTTTCTCACGTGCCCTAGACCAAGGAGAAGTCTGCTCGGGGACTGAGGCGGCCTCCCCCTCGACGAACAAGCAGCTTCCAAGGAAGAGGACATGTGACAGGCACCCTGCGGGTGTCAGAGCCCCAAGCAGCATGGGACTCCTCTCCCACCTCAGGAGTCTGAAACCCCAAGAGAGATTAAGACACTTCTCCACTGACCGGGTTGTAGTCAGACAATTCTGACTCGTTAGCTCTGTGGCCTGGGGCAAAGCACGTGGCCCCTCAGTCTTAGTCTTTTTCATCTGTAAAATGGGGATAAGAGGACCTAATTTCAGTGACAGCTTTGAAATCCTGTTTATAAAGCATTTAGCACAGGCCTGGAAATAAGCCTGTGGTATATGGTAAGTCTGCTATTGCTGAGGATCACAAGGACATAACAGCAAAGGGAACCCTGAGAGCCACTTTATGTCTTTTTTTTTTTTTAAAGATTTGATTTCTTTATATATGAGAGGCACAGAGAGAGAGAGGCAGAGACACAGGCAGAGGGAGAAGCAGGCTCCATGCAGGGAGCCTAACATGGGACTCGATCCCGGGACCCCGGGGTCACGGCCTGGGCCGAAGGCAGACGCTCAACCGCTAAGCCATCCAGGTGCCCCTAGGTCTTTCCTTACACCACTCACTGTGGTGAACCCTATGAACCTCAATTTTATCCATACATATAGTTTTTCACCACACACACACACACACACACACACACACACACACACGAAAGCCCGGTGTTCTAAAATGGCGGCAAACAAAAATTTGTAGTCCACCAAAAAGTATCTACATACTTTCTAAAATTCTTCTGTTAAGACAAAAAAAATAACAGGAACCAGATTTTCGTATCCTAATGTTTCTACAGAATTCTGCGCTCTTTAAAAGCTCTGAACAGGGATCCCTGGGTGGCGCAGCGGTTTGGTGCCTGCCTTTGGCCCAGGGCGTGATCCTGGAGACTCGGGATCGAATCCCATATCGGGCTCCCGGTGCATGGAGCCTGCTTCTCCCTCTGCCTGTGTCTCTGCCTCTCTCTCTCTGTGACTATCATAAAAATAAAAATAAAATTAAAAAAAAAATAAAAAAATAAAAAAATAAAAGCTCTGAACAAACTCTGAAGTTTGCATGTTTTTAACCTGTTGAACTTCCTGAATCCCCGTGTACCCATCAGTTCCCCAGCCGTCAGTCCATTCATGAACATTTTTGTTTCATCAGATTTCCCCTGTGCCTCTGGCCCCAAAATGAGGTTACTTTGAAGCAAATATGGCCATCGCCACACCCCACACATGGTGTGTCAGGATGAGTAACGGCCGCATTAAAAACATGTGGTTGCTTCAACCAGGGGAGAAATAGCAAAGGAAGGTTTCTCAATTTCCTAGCCCAGAGGAGGCTGGGTAATGTCGGTGCCTCCTCCCTTTCCCCGATGGCCTCAGACCAGATCCTTCCCTCAAACCCTAAGAAGCCCTTGCTTCTCGTTCTCAGCTGGACAACCAACTAAACCTCCTTGAAGATGTTCACTGATAACGCAGGTGTCTTCCGAGGGGCCTGAAATGATCGTCTCCCAGATCACCGACATTCTTTAATGGGAGACCAAAGCTGGTGAGCCTTCTAGACCCAAAGAGGATCTGATTTGGGAGAGAAGATGTTCCGTGCTCCGCCTCCCAATGGGGCCAAATGTGAGGCAAGGGATGCCTGGGTGCCAAGGAGGGAGGCCCACTCTGCCTCCCTCTGCTCCGGGCAGTCCTCTCAAGGAGCGGCCAGCCCATCGCATAGCATCCTTAAGATGAAAATGCCACACAACCACAATGGTCCTGCTGGACACCTCCCAGGTGCAGAGGGCTGCGCTGACACGCACACCTCCTGCGGGGAGGCCGGTCAGCCAACACCGGCACTCACGCGCTTAGGTTCGCTAGGCCACGAAGCAGACGGACTAGCTTGACGTGAGAACAAATAATGCCGATCTTTACCTGCTCGGCACAGCAACGTGCTTTCAATGTGACAGGAACGAAATGCCCAGGGAAGCAGCAGATGCCCAAGGACTGGGTCAAATGCCCAGAATGTGCACGGAGAATGGCATTCAGCACCGCTACTTGGGCTCTAGTACGCTGGCACGGTGTCCCCTCCTCCTGGAAGGGTCTTAGCCAGAACCACCCACGCGGTGGTGTCACAGCAACCTGCCTTCTGGGTTGTTCCCACCACCCCCTCATCCAGGAAAGGAATAAACAGATGCCGTGGCAACTTTAAAAATCTGAACCCTAATCGCCAGGTAGGCTCATAATAGTACTAGTAAAACCACGATCAAAAATCTTGGTACTAAAAAAAAAAAAAAACAATCTTGGTACTAAAACAAAATCTGACTCATTCCGTTTGGATGCCTTATATATTTAAGATGTAATTCGACCCTATTCAAAACAAAGCTTTTGATTTTCCCAACAACTTGTTCTTCTCCAAAACGTACCAGGTCCTATAGAAGTCCAACTCCTGTCCTTTCTTTCCTCCCCAGCTCGATAAACAATATGTCCAAGTGACTCAGGTTTCAAACCACCAAATCATCCTGTTTTCCCCTTTCCCTCACTCCCACCTCTAATGCTCAACGTACGCCACGCTGGTTCCATATCCATAAGCTCATCCGCCCACCTCCTACCTCTACCCACTGCACCTTCTCCAAGGACACTTCCACTTCCTCGGGCTGCCGCTGCACGAGCTCTCAGTCGGCCTGCTTCCTTCCCTGCCCCAGGGCTCAGAGAAGCTTCCTGCAGGATCTAAAGACACAACCCCAGGGCACCCGGGTGGCTCAGTGGTTGAGCGCCTGCCTTCGGCTCAGTTCATGATCCAGGGTACCAGGATCGAGTCCCGAATCGGGCTCCCCAGAGGGAGCCTGCTTCTCCCTCTGCCTATGTTTCTCATGAATAAATACATAAAATATATTTAAAAAATAAAACAAAGACACAAACCCATCCCCGAATACTCCAGTACTCTCTCACAGCATCCTGCTTTGGTATCTGCATAGTAATTACCACTATCTGAAGCTATTCCATTTATGTTTTATTTCTCTCCCTCACCAGAATGACTTCCATTAGATTACAGTCCTTTCTTACAGCCTGGGTCCCATCAAATCTCTGTATCTGATCTTTCCCATTTCCTGGGGCTGTCAAATCAGAGGGCTATTCACTACTGGCTTGCACAGGGTGTTGGTAATATTTGTTGGATAAATGAATGAATTTTTTATTTTACTATAATCTTCGGTGTTTAATTAGAAAGAAAGTACCTGATTGAATCTCTGGGCATTTTCCAGGATCTTCCTTTCCTCCTTCAGACAGTTATAGATGATCATAGACATCTGTATTGGGTCTTCCTGAAAATTATCCTAGATAGGGATTGTTAGAATAAGAACAAATGAAATTTCAGAATGTTTAAACCATTGTATATTATAAATTGCATTTGTTTCTATCTACTGAGATAACTCATCTTGAATTTATTAAATTCTTACACAAGCTATTTTTGGTAAAATAAAAATATTCTTTTCATAAATTATGACAAAAGCTTTCCAATAAGTGTAGGTATCTAAGTTATTTCTTGATTAAAAAACCAAGTATTTTCAAACATGGTTCCTCTAATGACTTTTTAATTTCCATTCTTATGTTCCATTAGGATCCTGAGACAATGCAAATGATATAAAAACTATGCCATTTCTCAATTTATCTGCTGGTCTCTGCATTGAATTAGTCAAAGATACTCTTTTCAGTTTTCCTATATCCTTGTCAATGGGGGTTGCAAAATACTAGCAATCGGGGGGCTCTTCAATAATAGCCACGTTCAAACAAAGTCTATAGCAGAGCAAATTTCTGTAAATTTAAGCTGCCTTCCCCTGTCACTGGTATTATGTAATCATAGATATGTTCACAAAGGAAGAAAAACCTTCTAATTACCTAGGTTGAACAGTTTGGTTGTGTTGTATGAAACAAGAAAACAATTGCTCTCGTTTCCATGGAAACAGAAAAATTCTGTTAATATAGAAGTAAATACAGTAGCCAGGCTTAAGGAACTCCTGAAATTCTGTAGCCCATTCTCTCCTGCCTGGGACTCCCTGGGACCGTCCCGTCTGTGGGAGAGCAAATCTTCCAAAAGCAAGGAAAGGTGGATCTAGCTCCAATTCACCAACTCAGTATCAGGCCTCAGGAACGTCAAACTTTTCCGGGCTTCTTCTTCATCTGTATACCAAGGACTTATTTTTATTTTTATTTTTTTATACCAAGGACTTAGACCAGATTCACACTAAGTTCCTTTGAGCTTCTACATGTTACTACAGCTCACTGCTTTGACAATGGGACCCCTTCCCTTGGTTTCAATTTCAACAATATTTAGTAAAACAGGTGACAGCATCACATTTCTCTCAGAATTACGGACACCTCGCAGGTGATACATCTAAACCTCAAAATTCCCTGTATGTTTACAAAATGAACTGATATTTTACTCTGCTTATATGCTGTAAAATATTAGCTATACAAAGGGAGTTTATTTACCAGCTCTGAAACTTTTAAAAATACCAATAAAATGCATGCTCAAGAATATTCGCTCAGTGAAGAAAACTCTTATGTAGGCTTGGGAACATTTTGGCTAAAATGCAAAAACCAAGTCATACCTGAAGGTTACGCTTGCTTTTCCTTATGTTATGCTGCAACAAAAAATTATTCTCCAAAGAAAAGCGACTATACTGATCATCCAGCTGTGATAGGAGGTCATGAAAACGGATGGTGGCAAATGAAACATCATTAGCAGCATGCTCCCTGGGAGATTTAAAATTCACACATTTCATTTTAGATACTACTTTAAACGGACAAAATAAACATTGCTTTCCTTATGAAAATTATTCAAGAAGCCAAATTTTTAGCATTTTCTTAGGATTTTTCCTTCTTTTAAGGCTGACATTGTTTTTAACAGCTGTTTGTACAATATTTCTATTACACACAATTAGCATAAAAAAATCCAGAACTCTGGGGCAGCCCGGGTGGCTCAGTGGTTTAGCGCCTGCCTTCGGCCCAGGGCGTGATCCTGGAGACCCGGGATCCAGTCCTGTGTCGGGCTCCCTGCATGGAGCCTGCTTCTCCCTCTGCCTGTGTCTCTGCCTCTCTCTCTCTCTCTCTCCCTCTCTGTCTCTCATGAATAAAATCTTATAAAAAAAAAAAATCCAGAACTCAGATTGTGCACGAAACTGCTAATGGTAATTATCTCTGGAGGGGGAAAAAAAAACAATAGGGGCCTTTACTTTGTACATCAAATACTTTTAAAAACATTTAGAATTTTTGCAGTCAGCAAATAGTAAATTTTTTTTTTAAAGATTTTATTTATTTATTCATGAGAGACACAGAGAGAGGGACAGAGACACAGGCAGAGGGAAAAGCAGGCTCCATGCAGGGAGCTCGCTGTGGGACTCGATCCCAGGACCCCGGGGTCACACCCTGGGCCAAAGGCAGACGCTCAACCGCTGAGCCACCCAGGCGTCCCAGCAAATAGTAAATTTTAAAACAAAATACTTATCAGTTTTTAGAGACGTCATCTAATTTTATTATCTTCATATTTCTAATCAATATGTCGCCATAATTTAGCTATAAAATGACTTCTTTTAACTTACTTCTTTCTATAATCTAGATCTTAATGTGGAAAATAATTGGTGCCAGCGTTACCTAACGTGTCCAAAGCATTTAGGAGTATGCATCATAATCAAATGGACAGAACTACCTTAAAAGACTCAATGACTAACCCATTTACTTTTGTAGAGTCAAATGCCATTTTTTCAAACCAATACGTTTTTCTGCAACAGATAATCCAAACAGCTACAATGAGATTCATCTTTTAACCAGTGTGGCTCCGAGTCACTTAATCACTTTAAAAGCGTAGAAAAACTTCAAGTGAGCCTTCCTTACCAGTCTTGTTTTTCTAGCCACTGTGCCAGGTACTGTCTGATTTCCATGGGAAAACAGTCATCATAGAGCTGGTGAACCTGCTCCAGGAATTTGGAGTCAAGCTGCTGAAGCTCATACCACTGGGACATCCTGTAAGGACACAAAACACAAAACACAGATCATGAATGGAAGACCGTAATTCCAAAGAAAGCCTATCCAGCATTATGCTTCTTTAAAAAATCATACTTAATCCAAAACGTAATTTGTCTCTGAAATATATAATTTAAGTGATGTTTATACTCTAAAGCCTGTTTTTTTTAATGTTTGGGGGTTAATATTCTTTTCTTCTCCAGAAAACACATCTTTGGGCCTTTTGCTCAAATGTCAACATACCAGGGAAGCCTTTTTGGATGCTTTGCTTAAACTGACACCACTTCTCACCTCATAAACACTCTCCCTCTGCCCTGATGTGTTTTGTTCCATAGCACTTACCACCATCTAACCCACCATATATTTTCTTTTTTATTTAGATTACTGTTTTCCCCGCACAAAGGGAAGAATTTGGAGGGAAGTGGACTGTTCACTGCTATCTCTCCAGAACAGTGCTGGGCACATAATATGACTTTGGAATGAATCTGGACTTTCATCATATAAAAAATGGAAAACGGTATTTCATTAGATTTACTTTCAGACAAATTCTAAGAACCCTCTAAAAACTGCTCTCTTAGGAGCACAGTACATTTGGGGTGCCTGGGTGGCTCAGTCAGTTGGACGTCTGACTTTGGCTCAGGTCAAGATCTCAGGGTCCTGAGGTTGAGCCCCAGCATTGGGCTCTGAGCTTGGTGAGAAGTCTGCTGGGGATTCTCTCCCTCTCCCTCTAGCCCTCCCCCTGGTTCACATGCCCTCACTCTCTAAAATAAATAAGTAAATCTTAAAAAAAAAAAAAAAAGAAAGAAATACAGTGCATTTGTAATTTAACTCGAATTTTATTTATTTTTAAATGCTTTTTTTTTAAAGATTTTTAATTTATTTATTCATGAGAGACACACACACACACACACACAGAGAAAGAGGCAGAGACACAGGCAGAGGGAGAAGCAGGCTCCATGCAGGGAGCCCCATGCGGGACTGGATCCCAGTTCTCCAGGATCACACCCCAGGCTGAAGGCAGGTGCTAAACCACTGAGCCACCTGGGCTGCCCAACTAGAAGAATTTTAAACTGGTATTTTATATTTTGTGATTCATATGGTAAAATGAATTATTTTTGTCCTGTACCTTTTAAAACAGATTTTCTTCTTGGCTGACTACAAACAATAAAACTAGCACAAAAAGTCTTTAATATCAGTAACAATTTAAAGATTAAAACCACATTGCTAAAAGGATGTTCAAAGGATAAAGTAATACTACTTCTTTGGATAAGTGTAAGTCAGTTTTTGCATAGCAGTTCTAAGGAAATGAAAACAGAACCCGAATTTAAGGAAGTCCCAGCATCTATGAAGAAAACAAAGGGCCTCCCATTACCACAGCATAACTTGGGATTTACACCAGCGCACCGCTGCAATATGCAGAGTGGATATATGTGAATCTTGTCCCACCAGGCCTCTAGGAAGGGGTCTAGATATTCGTGCAGGGTGTGGAAAAGTCATGCATGCTTGCTGCAAGCACACATGTTCAGGCAAGAAGTTACATCTACTCCACGAATTTCCTTCCAAGGAAAGAAAAGCAAGAATATGGTGGGACTATAAAACTCATTGCCATCACAATACGAGTAGAAATGGACACAAACAGGGATGCCCGGGTGGTGGCTCAGCGGTTGAGCAGCTGCCTCTGGCTCAGGTCATGACCCTGGGGTCCTGGATCAAGACCCACATCAGGCTCCCCACATGGAACCTACTTCTCCCTCTACCTGTATCTCTGCCTCTCTGTGTCTCACACGAAAAAATACAATCTTATTAAAAATAAAAAAAAGAAGAAACGGACACAAATCTCCCCTCTGGCATACCTGCAACAGGAATCTGATTTTTCACTTCAAATTAATTTTACCTAAGTGGGAGACTCCAAATCTGTGGCTCTTCCCTCTCTGCTAAGTGTTTATTTAATAAGGATGTGCCTACAGAACTACACTGGCCAGAGGTCAGCCAGAGGGGGGTATAACACCTCTTTTTTTTTTTTTAAAGATTTTATTTATTTATTCATGAGAGACACAGAGAGAGCGAGAGGCAGAGACACAGGCAGAGGGAGAAGCAGGCTCCATGCAGGGAGCCCGACGTGGGACTCGATCCCAGGACTCCAGGACCACGCCCTGGGCTGAAGGCGGGTGCTAAACTGCTGAGCCACCCAGGGATCCCCAGTATAACCCCTCTTATTAGATGCTGGACCTCGGGCAAGTCACTTCTCTATCAACAGCGTGGCTGTTAAGACTGAATGAACTGGTACAGACACAGCACCGGGCACAAAGCAGGCAACTAATAAATTCATGCTAACAAACTCCGAATCCGTGTCATCTTCTCACAAAACCTGTAACCAATGCGAAGAGTGTCATGATCACCTCCCCATCACCTTGCTCAAATTCCAGTGCTATATGGACTCCCTCCTGCAGTCCCAAGACCTCCCACCTCCCTGCTTCCCAAACCACGTCCCAGTCTAGCCTCCTGTTGCACACACTTGGACCACATCACTGCTGTCTTGCTCAAAAGTGCTGCCATTTGCCCATTCCGAGGCTGATGTGCACCCTGACCCTATTTTCACCCATTAACAAAGCAAACCAACTGTCAAATGGTCTACCGTGTTTTGGCTAGGCCCAACACTGCGGCGCTGCTCCGGCCGTCATCCACCCTTGGAAACAGCCTCCCCAGGGATCTCTGCCTCTCTACATCCTTCCACTATTCTAAGGTAGATGTCAATGTCCCTTCTTCCAGAAAGCCATCTGGGACTTACACAGGGACAACTAAGCTGTCTTTAACTTGTGTGCCACAGCATTCTGTACCCTGTCTTGGAGCATCAGTTCCTTATAAAGCTCTAGGATTTCTCCCCTGAGTGAAGTAAGTTGCCAGGACTGTGTCCTCCTCCTTTTTTTTTTTTTTTTTAAACATCCTTGGTACATTACACAGTGTCTCCCACGTAGTATGTATTCAACAGGTTTACTGAATTGAAATCTAGTGTATTTCACATTGAATTAAGAGTAGGGGGTAGGGGGATCCCTGGGTGGCTCAGCGGTTGAGCACCTGCCTTGGGCCCAGGGCATGACCCCAGAGACCTGGGATTGAGTCCCACCTCGGGTTCCCTGCATGGAGCCTGCTTCTCCCTCTGCCTCTCTCTGTGTCTCTTATGAATAAATAAATAAAATCTTAAAAAAAAAAAAAGAGTACGGGGCAAACCACATTATGCGGCACCAAGCCTCAGCTCCGCATCCTTGTTAAGCAGCAGCTGCATCCGGGATTGTGCTGGAGGCTCAAGTCCTCTAGTTCTGTCCCATAAAAATGACCTTTCAACCTATACAAACGCTTGGAGCACAGTCAGCCACACACATGCACACACACGGCCCCAAAATCTTCAGTATTAGTCACCACTTTTTAAACAACTGACATCGCTCAGGGGTTTGCAGAAACTTTTATATTCCAGGAAGACGTTAAGCTGCTCCGTCTGTACACACCGGTGCAGGACTAAGAGTCCCAGACGGGACATTCATTCTTCGGGAGCAACTACTGACCTGCCCCCGGGGGGCCCGCGAGGGGCTGAGGATCCAACCCAAGCGGCAGCTGTTGGCTACTGGCGAGGCGCGGGCGGCCGGGCCTGCACGCACACGGTGGGAGCGTCCCAGCTGGCACAGGGAAAAGGGAAACTTCCCTGCGGGGAGAAGAAGAGGTGAGAAGGGGACAGTGGTGGAGGCGGGGGGTGGGGGGGAAGTGGAGGTGAAAGGGGGAGAGGCAGTGTTTGGGGGAGGGTGTCTTAGGAGCTTCCTTTCCTGCGGGGGCGCCAGCGCCTGAAGGCTCGGGGCGCGGCACCCCGCGACCCCCCGACCCCGGGAGCACTGGGCCGCCCCCCCCCCGCCGACCCCTGGGCTCCTCCGCGCAGCCCCGCCCCCGCGAGCACCGGGCCCCCCCGCCCCCGCGAGCACCGGGCGAGCAGGCCACTCACCGCTCGCGGCGCTGGCCCGGCCTCGGCGGCGTCCGGGTCCGAGGGGTCGGCCCGGCGGGGGTCGCGGTACCCGGGTCCCTCGGCGACTGTGCGGGAAAGCGGAAGCGCCCGGCGCGTAAAAGACGGAGGCCGGAGCCCCGCCCCCCGCCGCCTCGGCCAATCGGACGCGGCTGTTCCGCGGGCGCGCGCCCCTCCCCCCGGACCCGCCGCAGCCCCGGCGCTGGGCCCCGGTGGAGGCAGGAGGCCGGGCGACCCCGGCGGTGACCCCGGCGGCCGAAGGGGGCGGCTCGCAGTGCTCGCAGGCCGGTGCACGGGCCCCGCGGCGGGGAGCCGAGGCAGGCGGCGGGCGGGAAGGCGGGCACCCCCGGAACCTGCCTGGCGCCCACCGCGGCCCGTGTGAGCCCCCCCCCCCCCCCCCCCGGCCTCGGGCCGCGGTGAGAGGCGGCGTCAGGGGCGGCCAGGTGCGGACGAGCCCGGGCTGCCCTGGAGACCCGACGGCCCCGCGCGCAGCGGCCATGCTGCTCTGGAGGCAGGTGCTCCTGCTCCTGCTCCTGCGCCCTGCGCTCCTCCCCGCACGCGCAGCGTCCGCGCCGGACACCTGCCCCGTTGACACCTGCCCCCTCTGGACACCTGCCCCCTCCGGACACCGGTCCGCTTCGGACACCTGTCCCCTCCGGACACCTGCCCCCTCTGGACCTGTCCCCTCCGGACACCTGTCCCCTCCGGACACCTGCCCCCTCTGGACACCTGCCCCTCACACCTGCCCCCTGTTGGAAGAACTGGCACGTGTCAGAGCAACGAGGCCCTTGGGGTCTGGGCGTGGGCTCCTCTCGCCCCCGCACACCTGTTCTCCAGCCCGCTCGGTGCTCCTGCTGGCGATGCCCCAAGTCCCACCAACTTGTCTCCCAACTCCTACACCATCCCCCACATTTTCCTCATTTTGATGACTGCAGTAGATTCCCAAATGGCTGCTTCACTTAAACTCTTTTTTTCAAATTGAAGATTTATCTATTCATGAGACAGAGACAGGCAGAGACCCAGGCAGAGGGAGAAGCAGGCTCCCTGCGGGGAGCCTGACACAAGACTCGATCCCAGGACCCTGGGGGTCACGCCCTGAGCTGAAGGCAGGTGCTCAACTCCTGAGCCACCCAGGTGCCCCTCACTTAAGCTCTTAATTGCCCCTCCCCTTTTAAATTTTTTTTTAAATAATCTCTACACTCATCATAGGACTTGAACTCACAGCCCCAAGCTCGAGTCGCATGCCATACCAACTGAGGCAGCCAGGTGCCCTGCCTTTAATGCTCTTCTAATGCTCTACCACAGTTTGAGTGATTTTTTTTTTTTAATTTCAAAGCAGATCATGTGTTTGCCACTTGCAAAATCCTATGATGGCTTTTCTTACCGAATTCAAATTTCTCAATATAGCTTACAAAGCCCTGGTTCCCCATTTCTTCTTCTAATCCTGTCTTTCTTGCTATTCTTTCTTTTCCAGACTTCAGCATTTTTGTCTTTCCCCAAACTCCGGGCCTTTCACCAGCAGTTCTCTATTTGGAAAGTCCCTTGGGGCAACATCCCTTACTCTCAACCTCTTTTCTGGCATCCAGGAGGCCAGCCTAGATGAGATCTTCTTGGAATGTATGCCCACAAGATAAGTTGGCGCCTTCAAGTAGATGGAACTTGAATCAAGCCATGAATAATAAGATGCCCTTGGGTACAAAAAAGATCTCAGTAGGCTCCCAAAGCTATGCTTATGCTCTTTCTTGTCACATATTCAGCCTTGCAAAGCCAGGACCGACCTGCGATAGCAATGACCCCTGGCACCAAAGTGGCAGCCTTCTGTAAAAAGAGATGCCAGGCCGCTACAAAACGCCCTTTCCCCCCACTTATGTGCATTTAGGACCCAAGACAATGTTGGAGAAAATCTGCCTCTAGGAAGAGTCAGCACTTGTTATCAAGTTCTGTGGATGCCTCCTTCCCTGTGCCTTTGTTGTCCTTCGTTTTACTGTCATGGACCAAACTCCACCGTAGCTCTCATCGCTTCAGAACTGGAATGCGACAAAAGACACCAGTTCGACTACCGTCTTCCCTTCCCTTTCCTCTCCACTGTTTGCCAAATTAAGTCCTTGAAAACGTTAACCACATTGATACCCTCAGTCCCTACTCAAGAACCCTGACAACTCTCATTGCAGTTAGGATAAACATCAGCTCTGCTAGTCTGGATCCTCCACAGAATGTTCTTACCTTTTGGCCTTGTCCCCCATTGTTCCAGGACCCAACGAAACTCTATCCATTGTTTTACTCCCACCCCCAAGCTTTTTTTTTTTTTTTTAAGGTTTTATTTATTCATTCATAGAGACACAGGCAGAGGGAGAAGCAGGCTCCATGCGGGGAGCCCGATGCGGGACTCGATCCTGGGACTGAGGGATCACGCCCTGGGCCAAAGGCAGGCACCCAACCGCCGAGCCACCCAGGTGTCCCCCACCCCCAAGCTTTTAATTTGCCTGTTTCTGGCCCTTTGCTCATACCATTGGCAAGTAGTGTGCTTACTCAATGGCATGTGCTGCCCCTTACTCACTTTGAATATCAAATCTTTATGCAACTTTTAAAACTAAGCCAAAATCCTATATTCTCCTTCTGGAACCATTTAATCCTGTGGTGATTAATCTCGTCTCTGAAATAACATGATATGTGTCTCCATTTATGTCAACAGTCCCTACATTATGTTTTTTGAAGTCTTCAAGCCTTATTCTCTCCAAGACTCTAAGTTCCAGGAGGACAAGCCTATGTATTTTCTAAGTGTGACTAACATACCAACTGCTGAAAAAGCAACCAAATACAGAACCAAACCGAATAAAAGAACTAGAGATCCAGAAGTGGAAAACCCAAATGCTCTTTTAAAGCTCCCTGGAATAGTCAGCTTACGAAACCGTATCTCTATACTAACAGTGCCCACTTCGCAAAAGACATGAATCTGGAAAAAAAAATAGCTAATACCATGTTTCATAGATTGCATTATTTTTCCATTTGTTTTCTTTCCCTTCCCACTCCTTGCCCTGGTCCACTCTGGCAGTGACATGGCTGTGACATGGAATATAAGCAGATGTGAGGTACACTCAGGTATAACCCACCCGAGACCTTGAATGTCTGTAGGATCAACATGCCCTCGTGCACTTTCTCTGCCCGGAGCAGAACTGCTGCAGCCCACCCACAGCCCCATGAGGAAGGGGTGTTTGTTTGTGGTCCCTGTTGGAAGTCTCTGCGGTTTCCTCCCCCACTACCCCGCCCACAGGAAGAGCTGACTGCCTCACCGATGACAGAATCAAAAGTCTAAATTATCTTCAGCAGAGTGTTGCTATGCTGAAACCAACGGGATAAAACCTGGTAAAACACAGTAATTGCAAAGACCTGTATTTGGGTTTGAAAGGGGAAAAAAAGGGCAACAAATGACAGGGTGCTCTTTGCTGCCAGTGGCCAGCTTGGGAGTCCTTTGCGCACTGTATCTGGCCAGTTACTAGCAATCCATCAGAAAGGGCAAGTAAGGTGAAACTGACTCCTCCGCCTCCCCCTCCCCCCTGCCCCACAGCTGGCGTTTAAAGGAGAGTCCGAGATGGTGGAACTACATTTTATAAGTAACCGAAAGCACTGTAGTAACTCATAAATTAACATGACGTTACAGTGAAAAGATTTTTAGGAACCACCCCAGATCTATTTGAAGCGAATTTATTTTTGCTTTGAGAGTCATCCAGAAGACAATATCATTCCTATTCTTCACTCATCCTTTTTTTTTTTATTTCCAATCACTCGGTCATATTTATTTAATTATATTTACAAGAACTACAAATGTAAAGGATACAGCAGAGTTTGCAAACCAGGGCAAAAAGATAGATATCGTCAGTTATATAATTCTCATCAGAAGACATTAGGATCGGGCACCTGGGTGGCTCAGTGGTTGAGCTTCAGCTCAGGCAGGGAGCCTGCTTCTCGTTCTGCCTATGTCTCTGTGTGTCTCATGAATAAATGAATAAAATATTTTTTATAAGAAATTAGGATCTCCTAACAAGGGCCACGTTATTCCTTCCTTTTATCTACTTACTTTTGCAATGTGACTCTGTAGCTCCTTTCAGAAACAGGTGGGAACTATTTTTGCACCTGTTGAATCTGGGCTGGCTTGTGACTTGCTTCGACCAATACCGTGCAGCAGACGTGACACTGCACCGTCCTGAGCCCAGGCCTCAAGGGACCTCACAGTACCCGATTCCAGAAACCCTGCCGTCCTCCAAGGCAAGTCAGCTGGGCCGGCTGGAACATCAGAGAGCACCCCAAACACCGCTGAGCGATGCAGCTGGCAGAGCTTGGGCCTCAGAGGCGTGGGAGTGAGATCGGAGCCCTGACCCCCACGGGGAGAACCGCCCAGTGTGCCCCAGACTCACAAGCAATGATGCGCGGTGCTTGTTTTATCCTGAGTTTTGAGGATAGTTTAGTTTGTTATGTAGCAATAGATCACTGATATAGACCTTATGGGGGAAAGAAAAGCATCCTACTATTGAATTATAAAATGTAATTTCTCAGGGGGTGCCCAGCCCCCCCACAAATATTTTCCTTGGGGTCTCTGGATCCCCAGTAGGACACTATGCTGTGTGTTCTTACTGACACACCCATGAACAACTTACTCCCTCTGTGTCCCATCTTGATGGCCTTGGTCTGTTTCAAAGTGGCAGCGACACATCCGTTTAGAAAAATCTACAGTTCCATTTTGCATTTGCGACACATTTTTCCAATGTTGTACTCATGTTGGTAACTTCTCTCCAATGGGAGAAATAACCCTTAATCAATGGAAGGCATCTTTGCTAATCTGTTAATACAGCGGGATTAAAATAAGGGATTTCTGAACTCCCCTGTAGTTCTCTGGGTTTTTGATATTCATATGCCTGAATACGAGCGTTATGCTTTCGAAGACCAGTTATTGGAAAATACCCTTGTATAAAATTGAACTGAAATACATGGAAGAAATCGTTATTCTATTACTGCAGGAATATATAGCAACGTAAATATAGGGAACACTGGGCAAGAGGGAGAGACAGAGGGAAAATATTTGAAACTGTCA